CGTATCTCTTTAGAAATGCTGTGTGGTCATTTTAAAATGCACGCTCAGCCACTCAGTTCAGTGTTTCCCCCCAGTGTGCTTAGAGCGTCGAGCTTCAGTGGCAGCGTAATCCCTTCTCACTCTTTTTTTTTGCACACACAGACTGACCCACTCACGCAGGCACACAAAAATCCATGCAGAACCAGGCAGTGATCCGACACTTCAATACATGTGGGTCCGCCTTCGGTCTGTGGAATTGATACGAGGACTTCTGTTTTGTTTGTCTTTGCCTACACTGATTTTTTTGTTCAACACACAAACAAATGATTTGAGATGGCTGAACCCAAAAGCATTAATAAAGGTAAAAAAAATACACTGTTTGCCTAGAGGCTGAACACTAGACGTAAGTGTAATGAAATTCTAGTTGTGATTTTTGTATTCTAGCCACGTTGAGAGCTGTGTCCAGTGTTGAAAAACTACTTAAATGGCATTGACGGATAATAAAATGGAAGAAGATTAAAAAAAAAAAAAAAAAAGTGACATTGATTTTAAGATAGACTGGCAACCTGTCCAGACAGCTTTCTTGCAGGTACCTGAGCAACTGTATGTTTGTTTGTTTGTGAAACGGGAACATATCTGAACATCACGTGGCATTTTCAGGCATCGCTTTGAGGCTCATTGACTTTGCTGTTGACGCTGAGCCGTGGTAAACACAAAGATGAGTGTTGCTCATGGTATTCTGCCACGACTATTACTGTGTTCTTACATTACAATCATTTCTACTGTGGGCTGGTGCTGTCAGGACACAAGCATCAACCTAAAACCAGAAAACAGTAATTTAAAGCAGAGAGATGTTCAAAACAGGATATAATTGGTGGCAAAGTCCATGTGGAGTTTCATGCGAACGTTTTAGAGGAAACCAGTTAAAGCAGAGATTCATGTTAAAATGTAATAATTTGGTGGTCTCCATTGTGTACGCGTATTATATTTACTGTAAATGGTTCAGAAATAAACACCAGAGAGGCTCAATGAGGGAGCTCTTGGGAATTAGAAAACAACTGTATATAGGATTCACATTTTAAGAAGTTTTGAAACTGGTATGGAAACAGGCCTGCACTGTTTAAATGGAAGGTCTTGCTGAAACAGGTAGTCCAGTTTTCAAATGAATTACAGTTTTTCTCAGTTACTTTGATACATTTCTCAGATCAGAATTGAAATTCTCAAAACTACTTGTTCAATCTTTACATCATTGTGTCACTTGTGAACATCAAAAAAGCAGTTTCTCATTTCTTTGAACAAGTTCTAAATGCTTTGGTCCATCCATGCAAATGGTTATGTACAATTCTCTGCTGTTTCCTATATTATCAATTGCTTTTGTCATGTTGATCAAAATGTAGTATAATGGGTCTCTGTTGAATTATCTCACATACTATGCAGTGCTCTTTTCCTTTCTGTATCGCAATGACACGGTCTGTCAACAAATTACAGTACAAACAGTAAAAGTCTAAATGTAAATCTTGTCCAGTCTCTTGCAATCAATCTCCCGCATACACTAAGGTGTAACTCACAATTTACAATAAGTGTCATCAGAACTTTAGCCATAGTTTACATCAGAACTTCCCTCCAGAGTACACTGTTACACTGACAACATGACTAAGCAGTTTGTCTTATCCATACACATTGACACAAGGACTTGTCATTCTGATGGCACTGCCATGTTCATTGACACATTGTAGTTTTGAGAGATGAACTAAGGATTTTGAGCAAGCAACTGCCCTGTGCAGGTAATCCGTGGTGTTTAGCTATTTGTACAAAATGTTTTGAGAAATGCACTTACTGTTTTGCAAATGTCGAGGATGATACGAGAAATGTACCAAAGCAACTGAGAAAAAATTGTAATCTGCAACTAGCATGGGAATTGGAAGCAAACCTAATAATAACGGATGATGATTGGGAGGAAATATTCATATCTGGACATAAATTAACAAGCAGTCCAACATGGAGGGAGTTTGATTGGAAAGTGAAGATGCGTTGCTTTAACACCCCATCTGTCATCGCAAAATACAGTAAAACATCAGATTTGTGTTGGAGGAACTGTGGCATGGTGGGTGACTTCATTCATATATTTTGGGATTGCCCAAAGATCAAAGAGTTCTGGAGGTGTGTGAAAACAGAAATAAAAAGAATTCTGGGTATTGATCTACATCTTGACCCAACCCTGTATATACTTGAGATATTACCTGATGATCAGACAGACAGAGATTGTAGCTACCTATTGAGAATTTGAGAGTCCTGTTCTTGATAGCAAAGAAAATGATCACATTTAATTGCTTGAAGCCACATCCCCCCAACATAATGCAATGGACTGAGTAAAAAAGGTTTTTATTGTGGAAAAAATACAGTAAGACTACTCGAAAAATTTGAGAGAAGATGGAAACGAATAATACAAGTGACACCAGGGATCTAAATACCTCTTTTTTTTTTTCTTTTTTAAAAAATGTATTTATTTTACTTACATATGTTGCTTTTTGGTTGCTCACTTACCTCTGCTAGTAAATATTAGAGAGAAGTCAGAATTCAAGATTGTTGTTGGTATCTGTGTAAAATATGTGATCTTGACTTTTGTTTGGCTGCAAGGTGGCTCGGTGGTTAGCACCATTACCTCACAGCAAGAAGGTCGCCGGTTCGCGTCCTGGTGAGGACACCCGGGATCTTTCTGCGTGGAGTTTGCATGTTCTCCCCGTGCAGCGTGCGTTCTCTCCGGGTTCTCTGGCTTCCTCCCACAAGTCCAAAATCATGTTGAAGTTAATTGGTGATTCTAAATTGTCCATAGGTGTGAATGTGAGTGTGCTTGGTTGTCTGTCTCTAGACTGGTGACCTGTCCAGGGTGTCCCCTGCCTTCGCCATAAGTCAGCTGGGATAGACTCCAGCCCCTCCGCGACCCTCGTGAGGATTAAGCGGTGTATAGATAACGGATGGATGGTAGCATGATATGGACTGAGTGGGTTGTAAACTGTGACGGGTGGTTTTTGTACATCTTCATCTGTGGAATAAATAAAAAGTCTAATAAATCAATCAATAAATAAACAAAAATCTGCAGCTAGCTTACCAAGCATAAATTACCTCAACATGGCTTCTCGGTTGTAAAGATCGGCTGCTTTTCTTTGGTGTATGTGATCATCAGAATTAGAACAGCGGTAATCAGTTGTAAGGATAGACGATACTGCATGTTTGCTGGTTCTGCCCCTTCTTCAGCTAACCTTGAACCCTATTCAAGACGTTCATGTTGCCATACATAGAAAGTCTTTCAGGATCCGTTGGACCCCAAGAAAATATGTGCAGACTTCTACACTACGTTACATACATTTTCTGCTAAGTTGACATATTTTTGGTTCCAAATGCATGACAAATGTTCCTCTTTTTATATTTAAAAAAATCTTCAAAAATAAAAAACAGTACCTGTCACCTAAACCAAATGGCCCGGGGTCCAAAAGACCCCAAAAGTCCTGAATAGGGTTAAACACCCAAATACAGTATTTATTGTAGCATAGATCTTAGGACTATAACTTAGAATCATTCCTCCTCATGTTATCTGTCTGCCAGTAGTCACGGGCCAACTTTTACACCAAAGCTGCCAGTTTGACACTCTCACTCCTTTTCCATTTCACTCTATGCAAATTGATTTTCAGGTCCAAACTAATTATCTGCAACTCAAAGCCTAAATCTGGTCTGGTGCCAAATAGAGCATCACATAGAGCAGGAACTCCTGTCCAGTCTGTCAGCCCCTCCCCCGCCTCTCTGTTTCGATGGCAAGTGGACATACGATTGATCATGGTTCAGTCTTGTGTCACTGGAAGAGCTGAAAAGCTTTAGAGCTCATTTTCTTTATCAAACTTATTAGATGGAGAAGAAGGTAAATCAGTGGCGACTCATTGTTCTGCACAAGCACCTATGTTAGAGTAGCGAGTTAAAAATTGCTTGCACTTCAACTTGAGAGAGCATTCGTTATCTACTTGCCCACCGTTTGACTTCTCTGATGACGTCTCCAGATTTATCGCCACTACAGAAACCTCGTCATGCAGTTAATAACTTATACCTGAGACAGAAAATGAACCCTAAGAATAAGAAATGTCTCTTTCATGAATGCAGTTCTCCTGTTGACCAGGTAATCATAAGATCGTAGGTACGTAACATAACCGTACTGCGGCTTCTTTTAGCTCAGCCTAGCCTTGTTGCAAACTTCAATTTATTTTACGTTTCTTTGTTCTAAATGTTAATAATTTTGTCTTCATGTCTAACGGAAGGACAGATTGAAAGATGGAACTACTGTGGTTTGGGTGTAAAATATAATCTGTAGTCTATAAATAATGAATCGTTGATCATATGGAGAGGTCAGATGGGGGAGTTCGCAGTGCAGGGTTGGCAGTTTCTGCCCTGATTCAGTGCAGTAAAACCACGCCAAGAGAGAACGCTTTTTTTCACTGCTGCAGCATTTCTGCTCCACTCCGGTTCTCCCGCGTTGTTCCCTCTAGACCGCAACATTATTCCCTTCCTAAAGAATGTAGGACATCTCCATGGGCCAGAGACAACTAATTTCACAAGGTGTTCTATCCTATGGCACATGTATTGAACTTACTGTGCCTTCAACTTTTGCTTTTTAATAAAAAAACTTTTGTCTTTTTAGAGACATCCTGACCTGATTCACTGCTGCAGCTGCTTCATTTCGATATGTCAGGCAGAATTTGCAGACCATTTACTGTAAAGCTGTTAGAGAACTGGAAATGTATCTGCAGTGACAGGGTGGGAGTAATTGGCTTGATTCATAAGCCCATGTTGAGATCTCATTATCTCAACCGAGAGTTGGAACTTCAGAGGAAGGATGGGGGAACAGATGATAAAGCCTGCTTCCTCCCATTTTCCTTCTTTTATGGAGGTCATTGGACGTAAATATATAGGACATAACACAGTCTGTATTTGTGATTGACGACTTGCCTGTGTGCTCTTGGCATGCTTTCGTTTAGATCTGTCTCCAAAGTGCCAGCGAATGAGAAGAAGGACCGGCCAGTAAGCACCATGAGTGAGGCCTCCAACTACACGGGCGGCTCGGACTACGCTGCAAACCCCAGTAGCCCAGCAGGAAGAGTGAGTGACACACACACACACATGAACGCAAGCTCTGCTCAGTTTGAAAAGTAGTGTAAAAACAACTGGGTCATGCATAAATGGCCTAAAACTTTTGATGAAGTGCAGAAAACGCTTTTGTTTTGTGTGGATTTAGCTCACTTCAGTTTTTTTTCCCCTCCTCATTCATACTGTAATTCAAGCCCTCAAGACCTTCTAAAAAAATTCACAACTTTGGGAAGCGATCCAACTCCATCAGGAGGAATCCCAGCGCCCCAGTTATCAAGAGAAACTGGCTTTATAAACAGGTAAGAGTGTGTATACCTTAAAATATACTTAGGTGGGCGCCCCAGTAGCTCAACCAGATAAAACGGTGACCCATGTACAGGTCCTTCCCCCACTCTTCTCCCCATGTTTCCTGTCTGTCTTCACTTTCCTGTCTGAATAATGGCAAAACAAGCCCATAAAGGAAAAATTATTTTCAAATATAGTCAGACAATATACCAAAATGAGAAGCATCATTTTTAGCAGTGCTAGCAGTGTGGATGTACGCATGATAATGTCAGTATTTGTGGTGAGTTTTTCCACCACTTTCTTTTGAAATGAAACATCTCAAGAACCACTGGATGGCTTCCAGTGTATTCTGGTACAAACATTCACAACCACCCAAGAATGAATTACAATAATTTAGGTGGTCCCCTGAACTTACAAATAGCACCATCCATGAGATCCATTTTTTAATTTCTTATGGACGAGATACTGCATTTTTATGCTAAAACAAATACAGATTTATAGATGTGGTCAATGCATTTGCTAAGCAGCATGTTAGCAATGGTACAGTTAGTGTAGACTGTAGAATGAATGCTGTTTTCTCCTGGCTTTAAGGAGAGTTTCTCAGAGCCACTAGAGCATCTACAGTGTCCCATTAAACTCACAGCAACTGAAAATTACTTATAACACAGCAAAGGTAAATAATGACACAGATGACATAAATTCATACAATGTTGAGTCCGTTCTTCGACTTATTATCTGCAAGTTGTTACAGAGCCGCGACAGTCTCAAGATCAGCACAAAGAAAGCTTTCTGATGTCTTTCAGGATCTGAGCATTTCTTCTTCCAGTGTTTCTGCTCAGCCAGTTATCCAGCAGGGGCAGTGTTTGAATACCCAGCTCAAGGGCTACTTAGAGCAGGGTGAAAGGGGGATTCTTAAAGCAGCTCTTGGCCAGTCAGAACTCTCTCATGCTTCCTTACTGGGAGGCTCATTTAGTTTTGATTGCAGACTCCCAGCGCGGTCTTGTGAACACGTGACGGCCTCCTTTGGTACAGCTGCCAGCTGCTTTTTCTTTGGAGACCTCAATCAGGGTGACGTAGATCAAGCAAAAGACCACAAATCTGCTACCCTGAATAAAAGCTGGATTTGCACTTTTATTTTCCTGCCTCATTGAAACCTGGAAGCTATTGAAGTCCTTGGCTGAGAGAAAGCTGCTGCCCCTCAATTGATCCACTGAGAGATCAAAATGCCACAGCGATTGAAGTGATGGTGAAAGCCTCTACAGACCAGGATCTGATAGAACTTTTGACAAAGTTTATTCATGAACACATTATAAAATGAGTAGTTAAGATCTTGATTAAATGGAGGGAAAGTGGTGAATTAATTGACACACTGCGTTTAAATCTCATTGTTTCAGATCAGCCTCCTTCATGAACATACAGAGCAGCATCTGGCATTGTGTATCTTTTTTTCTTTTTGATACTAATGTGTTAAACATTCTGGTTTGGGGAAGTGAATTTCCATTTAAAGTAAACTGCAGCCCACATGCTGTTTGACCATAATGACAGAGTTGTTGAGGTCCCTCCCCCTACTTTTGTCTCTGCGTGGAATCTACGATTAAGGACTCCGCTCAAGTTTTCCATTAAAGCAAACGGGGGAGTTAATACCCTTTACTTCACCCTTCATCCTTTTCAAGCAGCAGAATAAAAAACGCTTTGAGCTACTACTGAAGAACAACTTTGGCTAAGAAAGGGTTTTTTTTGCTATTTTGTTTATTCCATAGCAGAAATTGAATGTTTCCCTACCAAATAAATTACACCTAATCCATGTCATGCCAAGAATATGCTAAATGTAAGTGTCAGAAATGTTGCAGTGCAAAGTGGATGACTTCTGCACTGTCTCCATTAAAATAATCTTTATTTACTTGGATAATTTCCAATGTCTTACGAGGCATTTTAGAACACAATGTGTAGAAAAACTTGCCAAAAACAGTGTCTTTAATGGTTGACGTGTCTGTCGGTTTGTTGAATAAACGTGTCCTATCACTCTGCTGCCTTTTCAGGACAGTACAGGGATGAAGCTGTGGAAAAAGCGGTGGTTCGTCCTGTCCGACCTGTGCCTCTTCTACTACAGAGGTGAGTCCTGGGCTGTTTGCTAATGGCGTGATTCATTAGGATTGCGCCGCTAACAACAATAGTGGTTTTCGATTAGCAGTTCAAGTGCCGCTGTGACCTTCAGAACCGCAAGCCGCGCTCTTGCGGATCGTTAATATATCTGGATGCAAGTCCCTGTGGTAAGCAGCCTGTCAGGCCCAACTGAAAACACATATCAAGTGAAATGGCTAGAGACATCGTTTCTTTCCTCCAGCAAAGCCAGATCTTTAAACAAGACTTGCATACAGCTGTACGGGTAAAAGACAAAGTGTAGCAGGAAATTGGATTTCACACAGAGACTGCGTCATTCAGAGGTTGCAGACTAATTCTTGGATTCAGTTGAATTAAACAGAATTTTCCTCACTAATGTCTGCAGATCCTCCTTTAGTTCCATAATACAAATACAATCCACAATCATTTTATCACAGTATTTACTCTTTGGATCTGTGTGGTATTCCACTGTTGTGTCATTTTATAAAGACAATATATATTTTTCCAAACCAAGTAATTCAATTTTCAGCTTTGACTGAAGTGGAAACGTAATATGTTTTCATTTTTAAGTGGCCAATATATCCTTTATCAGTGATGTTTTTAATAAGATGTTATTGTTATAGTTTTCCCCTCAATTATTAAAATCTGGCTCCTCTTAAACCTGACTCCTGCTACTATTGCCCAGTAGGAAAATATTTGCAAGTGTTTGATGTGTTTTTTTTTTCCAATCTCTTACTGGCTGAGCTGTAGTACACTTGGTTTTTCATCCTCTCTCATGCAGGACTAATGCTCATATCAAATATTGACACAGCTGTGTCCAGAGAACGTTCGAGAACTTGCTTATTGAAAAAATGAAATTAATTCTGGGAATCAATGAGGTAGATTTTGTCTACTGTTAGGCTGCAGCTACAGAGAAAATAAAAGTCCTACCAGGTACGAGTCTGTATATCTCAGTGTCACCACTTTATGCGGATACAGTCATCATTTCTGCTGATCAGGATGACATCTAGTCTGTGTTATTTCTAGTGTCTGCCATTCCTGTCGCCTTCTTTCCGCCCACTGACTGACAAAAGCCACAGACAGCAGCAGACCCAAAGGCTTTATCCAGATGGATATGCTGAGAAATTGTATCCATCAGCAGAGAGTGGGCAGAGAGGTCATGAACTGCACTGCCTCAACTAAATAGAGCCGCTATCTGCTGTAGTTATCAGCCTATTATTGTGCACCCAGGATCCCCCACAATGTTGCTTATGTTCAAAGACTGATCCGCAGAAGCCTCTGTGTTTGTATGTTTTCAGAGAAAGATGCAGAGACACAGAGACTTGATTAAATAAAACTCTGACCAGTGAACTGCAGGTACAGTCTTTCAATCCTTTAGACTTCAGTAATGGAGCCAAGGCTCTAATATCACTGCAGGACAAACAGCTTTATTCTAAAATGCAACTGGCCGACCAGACCCACTTATTTCAGCAAATATTACTCACCATTCACCATGAGCCTCATTCATCTCTGTTACTGCCAACATGTGTTAAGGCACTTTGACTTTTACATAACGTCCCTAGTTAACACACACGCACACACAAACAAACACACACACACACACAAGCAAACATACACACATGCCAGCAAGCAAACAAAGCAAACGCACATATGGGATCGCAGCAGTCACTTCCCTGATACGTGTTGTTTTACTGCACTGTTTTGGGTAAGCAGTGCAGTTTGCTTATATCAAATTGGAAGGGTAAGCTACTCTTCGCTTAAAACATGGGACTCAGTCTAATCCCCCCTGTGGAGAGTGCCCCATTGTCATTGTGGAATCCTGTCTGTTAACTTAATGAGGATTAGAGCAGCCAAGCTGCATAGGACATTGAATCAGTGCTCATCTTTTCCACTGATTGGACTCTGTACCCTCTGCTTTGGTTTGTCTCTGGATTTTCATGTTTACAAATAATGTTCACCGAAACCGTCCTATTAGAATCCGTATTCGTTTTATTATAAATTGAGTTTTCACATATGAGGAATTTCACTTGGTGTTTTGGTGCATAACAGTAAATGCTATATTTTTAAAAAGCAAGGGTTGCAACTAAATTAAAAAGTGTGTGTTACAAGACAAACAGCTAGAAGTTGAGTGATGAAAACAGCCCAAATGTGTTTTGTTGTCTTGTTTCCTCTCTGCAGATGAAAAAGAGGAGGGGATACTTGGCAGCATCCTCCTACCAAGCTTTCATATATCCATGCTGTCTGTCGATGATCACATTAACAGAAAATATGCCTTCAAGGTCAGTGCATGTTTTCATTTCTGTATATTTCTTTTTGTTAGACGCCACGTTTTATGGTTCAGTACATGAAGAACACAGAAGAGCGAAAATTTGTTATTAGTTGTTCAGGGGAAAATGAAAAGTTCTAAAATAAGGTCATAGGGGCTGAATGTTCAAGTCTCCCAGATGGTACATTTGATCACTGGTTTACAGTTAGACAGTGTTTTTACTGTGGTGGCTCTTATAATCCCACAATGTTTTCTTTAGCATATGAATCAGCTTCTTGGTTTACTTTACTTAGAGCATGTTCTGTCATTACTTTAGAAGTGAATCTCAATTTATTGACAATGACGCAAGCATTGCTTTGTTTTTTTTATACTTCAGCTGTCAGCTACTAATGCTAAGACAAAAAAGCACGTGTCCCGTGTGTGTGCTGGTTACTGCTAGTGATGCAGTACTACAGTGCTGTGATACTCTTAGACGACTCAGAAACCCCAAGTTATAGGGCAACAGGCATACTTCATGGGATCTCAGTGGTGTGTACAGTATTTGACTGAAGAGGCAACAAAGTTGTCCAGCCAAGTACAGCCAAACACAGACGCCCAGGAGTCTGCTCAAGGTCTCTCCAACCACACAACCCACTTCTTTTCCAACTTAGATTCAGACTGAAAGAGTTGAGGGAAAGAGAGAAACACGAGAGCGGGGCACAACCTCTTCAGTTTATAGTGATTAACTCCGGAATGGGATGACTTTTTGACTGCATGTTTTTCATTCTTAACTTTTCCTGACTCTTGTTGTTGTGGCTCAAAGGGCCATGTCATTAAAAGTTCCTTATTTTTCAAGATTAATCTGAAGTAATTAGAGAAATGACTGTTTTTTTCCCCTGTCTTTCTGTTTTTTGTTGACATTGGTAAACAGGATATTGAGGTTGTTCACTAAACATTCTGTCTCTCTCTGTCTGTGGCCGGTACAATATGTTGGTTTGTGCACCGCGAGGGAACAGAGCAACAACCGAACAATGTGTTTGCCGTACGATGCACTTCATGGTAAGTTCTACAGTATTGTGGCAGATTTACTGCCCTAATCTAGTGGTATGCATGAAACTCAGGTGGCTCAAGAATTTATGTGGATGGCACAGATGGCCACATCCAGGAGTATTTCTCAAACCGTAATTGCTTCCCATTATTTACTACGATATACAACATAGTATATAACTTATGCATTAAAGTTATAGTGACACTTTACAATCTTATTAGTTTTTAATAATCCTGTTTAATAGTAAGCAACCTTGATACATGAGTCAGTGCTTAAGTACTAAAAACCCCAGAAAACTTGATTTTTTTGTCTTTTGTCTTTCAGGTTTCTTTTCCTGTGTGTCACTCTTCCTGTCCACTGTCAAAACAGGCGACACATCCCAACATGCGGACATACTATTTTTGCACAGACACCGCCAAAGAGATGGAGTCTTGGATGAAAGTAATGACAGATGCTGCACTTGTGCATTCAGAGCCAACCAAAAGGTTTGTAAGAGCTTTGCTAATTAAGGGATTTTTTGCAGACTTTGTTGTTTCACTTTCAAATGGAGAAAAAGACACTCGAGGACAATTCTTGACACTATTACCAAAGACTCTGCATTCCTGGGTTCAATTCTTTACCCTGACTTTTTTCTTTTAATACATTTTTAATGGAAGAAAGTACTTTTAAACCTCTCAGTTAAGCCTGTTAAGTTCTTTGGCAAGAGTTCAGCACCCACTTTTGACATTTCTAGTCTCTGGGTTTGTTTAAGAAGCTGTGACTCTCTTTCATGTTATGTAACTGTTTTTACTCTTGACGTCTATTTAACATGCAGAAGAATGCCATGTGCATGTGAGCATGTCAGCACTGTGAATGCATGGTGCAAGTGGTAGAGGGGATGTTGTGCACAGCTGCACTGGCTGATCAGGATCACTGACTCATCAGAACAGTGTTTTTTTTCCCCCCTTCTTTTTTAAACTGTGCTAAAAGTCTGTGATTTGGCAGCCCGCCCGTCTAATGCCCTCCTTTTACATGGACGAGCAGAGGTGTAATGGCAAGGAGATGTGTAATTACACAGAGCAGTAGTGCCTGAAATCCACTGAATAGGGCTGTTAAATGGGTTTGGTTGATGCTGCCACAAGCCAGTGTAGCATAACGGCATCATATCCATCAAGACAACAAGGTATCTTAATTTGAATCATCATTTATCTTGTTTCTACAACCTCTTCAGAACAAATACAACTAAATGCAGACAGACCTTCATCACAGCTGAATGTGTCCGCTGGTGGAGTCACAGAAAGCTGGAGAAGACATTACGTGACTTGTGCTGCTATTTGAAAGTATACAAGTGGAAACTTTGAAGGAATGCCTTTTGTGCTGCCCTCTTATTGCTAACCCAGTGAGCCTTGCTACTGAGGGGAATTTGCCAAACTTTGAAGTTGTGACCTTGAGCCTGTCTAAGGCCAAGGAGTAGTGGTGTCTATTACCTCTGAATACCTCTCAAGGGAGCACAGAGTGGTAGATAGGTCTGCTAGAGAGGAGGCAAAGGAGAGCTGCAAATGGATTACTGGGGTCTGAGCACCACCACTGAGGCGTGCCTCAGTACAGGCAGTGTTTTATTGGAGGTATCTGATTTCCTTTTACACGCCTGGTCTTCTCTGGCAGCTGGAAGAAACGTTGTGCAGTCCATTCATTTACTTTGCACTTCTGGTTTTCTCTTAAAGCTGCCCCCATTAGCAGAGGTTGCAGAGGTAGTGCATTAAGTCCACAGTGTATTTTAGCCATGCTTCATACGTTGTCTCAAACACCTTTTATACTTGACATGAAAGAATATAAAAGGTGCTAATTTATTCTAATGTAGTACATGTTTCCGTCATTATGCAGCAGATCTTTTGTGTCCTTATTATCTTTAGCTAACGCAGATTGAGCAGATTTTTCCTCGGAATTATTCTAAGACTTTCTTCCTGTCTGGCTCAGGATGGAGAGGCTAAAAGTGGAGCAGTGTGGACCACAAGAGATCAACCATGTCTCCAACCACAGGCAGCCACTCACACAGCCTGAGATCCAGAACAATGAACGCAACCGTGAGGTTGACCGAGAGCACATTGCTGCAGTCACCACCGCCACAGAAGAAGAGGAGAGGAAGCAGCGAGATGCTGAGCGCTATGGCTTCCAGAAGGACGGGGCTGAGCGGGAACGCCCACTTACCAAGATCAACAGTATCAAACTGCAGCCAACCCAGGCGGCAGCCATCAAGGCTAACATGACCTCGCCGCAGCCTACGACTGAGATCGACAGGTCACACCATAGCCCCCGGGTGAATGGATCTGCAGACCAGTGTCAAACTGATGGGAGTGGAGCCCCTCCTCAGCAAAGTCCCTCCCTGGAGCCTGACCGTAGCCTGAGTAGGACGAGCTCGATGCAGCAGCTGGAGCAGTGGGTTCGCACACAGCGAGGGCGTAACCAGGATGATGATACCAGGAGGTTGGTTTAATTATATGTTTTTTCTTTTAACAATTTTAAAAATTATGCCAGTTGGCTGGTGCTGTTGTCCACAAGGTCCGGCAGCAGTTGTTTTAACTTTATTTCACAAGAGTCCAATCTTATCCTGCTTCAACAACAACAAGGCAAACTTGGTGTAATCTCAAAAGGCTGATTCACCTGCATTTAGAAACAAGTAGGGGTTCTTCTGAAGTATCTGAGTGTTCACATGAAGTGCGTATGCATCTAATTTTCAAGATTCCCAGTCAATTTTCTTTCTAAAACTGTGTGGTTTAAAGCATTTTACTCTCTTTTACTATAGTTTAAATACGTTGACGTTATTCTATTGAATGTACCAGTAAGTAGAAGTGGAGATAAACTATAAATGACTCTGTTAGCCAGAGTCATTGACCTTGGTGTGAGAATCCTAATTTTAATTGGTTGAGCTTAAACTTGCTCTCTTGCAGTGTCTCTGTGTCTGGCTGTCAGTTTATCTCTTCATCTGTTTATTTGTATGTCAGTTGATCATCACCAGGGTTCTGCTCAAGTTTGACACAGTCATGCTCTTTGCCTTTTCACTCACTCCTTGATTAAGTTTATTTTAAGACGCGGATATACACATCCGATCTAAGGAATGCATGAATTTGAAGAGGGCCATCAGGGCCTCTGTCCTTATTTTCCTAGCGTACACATTCCATTCTCTCCATGTTCATGTCTTTCAGCAGTCTCCTTTTGTCGTTACATGCATGTCCTCCAGACTGATGTTTAGTTTCCATGCAGTCACGTGCCTTTTTTGTGATGCTACTATACAGGGCTTTACAGACCAGTGAGCGTTCTAGCCTGGATCTGTCAGGGAGTCTTAATATGAAGCTCTCTTGTTGCCAGCTGCACTGACTTTGAACCCACTGAGGAAGTGAAGCTTTTTAAAGCCTTGCTGTCCCTGGAAAGGTCTAATTTGTCTGGGTTGGTGTCTTGCTTTCCTCAGTCCTCTGAGTACACAAATATAAACACGTGGAAAAAGAAAGCACATATGCATACTTTACAGTTTATACATTCTGACATTAATTTGATTGATGTGCTATTCGGATGCATTCAGGGCAGACTGAGGGGTTCAAACTGACCGGCTGATGTACAGAACAAAACTTTAAGTGTTTAAATTTAAAGTCAAACAGGCGAATCAAAAACTTTTACTGATTCACAACATAACTTTGCTTTGATACGTGAGCTAGCAAGAGTCGAGCTGTAATGAGATGCTTATGTTTTGTGTAATTCAACATAAAAAAAAATAAAGATAAAAAACGTAAAATGATGTTTGAATATAAACAACTTCTCCACTTTGAACCTGCCAGGCAGAACTTAAAAGTGTTTTTGGGTATAAAATATGTGAGATTTTATATGACTAAAACTAGTAATTATCAGTGATGAAACAAATTCACAATTATGTCAAGAAAATGAATAGCTAAGTTCAATAATAGGGTTTGAACAGTTATTAAACTGTCATACTTGCCTTTATCCTTTTAGGGTTGATTTTACATTCCTGACAAAAATATTGAGATTTTAAAGCAGATATTTGACTAAATTGCATGTGAAATGACAATAATAATACATTTATTTGGGTACAAGCATGACACCCAAGGACACTTTACAAAACAAAACAAACATGATAATTATGAAATTACAGAAACAAACAAAAAAATACACAATAAAATAAATAAAATACCAAGGTAATAAAATGATGAAATGATTATCTCTCCAGCTGATATAGGCTAATCCATCCATCCAGCCATTATGTATACACCTCTTAATCCTCACTAGGGTCGCGGAGGGGCTAGAGCCTATCCCAGCTGACTTAGGGTGAAGGCAGGGGACACCCAGGACAGGTCGCCAGTCTATCACAGGGCTACACTTAGAGACAGACAACCAAGCTCAATATAAGATAACATGCTCAAAAATATATTTAAAAAATAAATAATAGTAAATTAGACATTAATTTGCTTTCTGCACCAGTTAACAAGTTTATCTGTGTGAAAACTTAAAGCACATTATGTTTCTGGTCTTGTTTTTTCCCCAGCATCACATCCTACCAGACGCTGCCCAGAAATATGCCAAGCCACCGGGTACCCTATATGCCTCATTATGGAGATGGCTACCGCAGCATGCCCAGGAACAGCATGGCACAGCGGGACAGCATATGCAGCTTGTCGCCGTCGTTGTACGAGCAGGCCCTGGGTCCCGCAATGGCTGATAAGCGCCGCTCCATGCGCGACGACACCATGTGGCAATTATACGAGTGGCAACAAAGACAGGCCTACACCAGACAGTCTGGGCTCTACAGCAATATGGCCAGTCCCAAAACCATGATCAACTTGTCCGAGCACGCTGCACCGAGCCACTCCATTCCCCCCTCGCCCTCCCACGGCTCCCTGTCCATGTATGGGGGTTACTCTCCAATGCGATCTTACAACATGGGCAGTGCTCGTTCAGAAGTTTCCTCTCCCGTCTACAGAAGAGACTTGAGCATCGACAGACGGCTCAGGCCACAAGTCAACAAGGTCAGTAAGGGCACGCATGAATAGCAAATCTGTAGTTCCCTCCCATAATTAGGAAACATTCAGTGTTTTTCCCCTTATAGTGGCATGGCTTTGGTTTTATTTTTCAATACAACTTTCTATCTTCATCCTAATACAAATGAAGTGAATGGAATTCTGCTTGCAGTGCTTCTAGCATTAAAAAAAATCTTAAAAAATCAACACCTCTTTCCACAATGAGTGTCAGAGCATGCCGTCAGCGGTTTCATTTTTTTACTGAAGAAATCGTCCTTCTGAAAACCCTTCACAGCATGTAGTTTGTATTATCCAGAACAACTGGGGCAGTGTTTCTAGAAAAAGATGTTGCTGGTTAATTTTTAAACATGAGATGTCAAAATAGTCTCCTCTCATGGGTTCACTTACTAACTTGTAGCCTGTCTGAGCTAATTTAACTATGCATACAGTTCTCAGAGGTCAAAATGAATCCATGTATGTGAATGGTTTGGACAGCACAAACAGAATTACATTCATCTTAAATTCTATTTATGGCTACAGAAATCTGAGTTGGATATCTCAATATGAAAAAAAAAATGTGAATGGCTAGATAGCACTGAGAGTACGTACAAAATGTTTCTTTGTATTTGCATGAACCCTGAGGCGATCAGTTAATGTTCACGGAAATCCATAATGTGCATGACGGGTGTTTTTAATATTCATTCACTGTATCTCGCAGTATGCCTACCCACCTGATAGGAGGTCTATGCCTGCAGGGATCCCCATCCAGACTATCACTGCCCAGTCTCTCCAAGGCAAAACAGTAAGTCCTCCTCTGGGTTGCTCCCTTCTTGTGTCCCATCTGCCCAGATTTAGGTCACTGTGCTACTCAGTTGAGATACTTCACGCTTGGGTTCTACACAGTTCTACAATTTGGGTTTAGCTGGATTTCTTTAAAGGAAAATGCTATTTTCAAAAATGCTACCTACCCTCCCTTTTCTGCCTCTCCCTCTTTCTGTCCTTCATTTCTTTCCCAGACATTGTGACAGAACTTTTAGAGACAGATTTAGGCAGAACTCAGATGTATGTTCCAAGTGGTAGGATTTAGGGTATGTTCACTTCAGGAGCTCCTTAGACTCGCTTCACATCAGTGGAGACTTAAAAACCCTGTCACTCACAACTTTCTAAGCCAGATCAGGAATTTATGTCAAAGCCGTTCTCAGTGCTATGTCCTCATGCAGCTGGTAAAGTGTGAACTGGATTCTGCACTAAATGCTAACTGTTCCTCTGTTTTGAGTGGATGTATAGAATTTGCATGCTGCTGACAGTGATAGCACACCGGATAATCGTTTGGTCCTTAACTGCATGAAAACTCAACACCACGATATAACAACTGTTCACCTATTGGGAGCCTGATACCTCTAAATCTCCTATCCTGGTGTGCTCTCTCCCCTCCTCTCCCATTCCCCCTGCGGTGTGTCCCTGTTTCATTGTGGCTGTGTGTCCCTCCCTTCCTCCCTCCCTTGCAGCCTGAGGAACTGACTTTGCTGCTGATAAAGCTGCGGCGGCAGCAGGCAGAGCTAAACAGTATCCGGGAGCACACTGTAGCACAGCTTATGCAACTAAACATGGATGGCGACAACCCAAAGGTCAGGCCCCCAGAGACGTCTCTGCAGGCGTGTATGTTAGCATGTGGTGTGTATGCCATCTTTACCCACTTCCATTATCCATCTTGATCCGGAGGATTGGTTTGGTCTTCACACATGACTGCTTTACGCAGAAAAGCGCTACTTCAAGCATTTTCTCCACAAAGGACTTTGCTGTGGCTTCAAGTTGTCAGTTCAACGCATTTGGATACCAGTTACTCTGTTGTCAGCTTTCCACAAAATGTATTAAATGAAAATAACTTTTGCCAGTTGAAATATTATTTTACCATCAGCATCTTTCATACTTTACTTCATCAGATCATTTGTTATTAACAGGTCAAGCAGTTGATTGAATCCTTTTATGTTCCTGAAGAGTTTAGACAGATGCCAGCCGGAAATGAAACTTAAAGCCATTGGTGAGCTTAAAGAGTGACTGACTAAGGAGGTTAAGGCCACTGGCAAATGTAAATGTTAATTGAGGATTTTTGCACTTTAAGTCGCTTCTAAGATACCAGAGTACAGATTTGACCGTTACTGATGTGGGTCAACGAGGCCTGGGGCGGAGAATAGTTTGGTTCATAACGTGTTTTTACCCACGACTGTACAGTTAATCTGACGTCTTATTGTAGCAGCCAAAAACGATTGCTGTACTTTATGCAGTTTAGGGTAGTGTTAGAATTCTCAGGCCGTATTGTGTGGGAGTTTGAGAAAGATTTCAACCTTGACTTACCATTTTCTTTGTGTTTTGCCTGCACTTGGTACAGACTGCATCTCGTCATTTCACCATTATGAAGTTCAGTAGTACACTCAGTCTTCTACCTTCTATAGTGCACCTGGTACCTGACCTGTTTTCTTCACCTTGACTGGTCCTGCTCTCCTCTCTCTCTCTCTTTATCTCTGGTTACATGACATGCCGGTGTGATTGTGCGAATGAGTGGGAGCACTAGCGAAAGAACGTGACTTTCCTTTTTCTTTTGCCTCACTCTCCTGTTGCCTTTTCTTTCCGTCCTTTGCTGCTGACGCTAGAACGACATTCTCTCCCATCACCTCCAAAGGAACCTCATGTATTTGGACAATCAGGTGGGGTGATGCATGAACGCATGCCCTCTCTCTCCCTGTCATGAACTGAGCTCATTCAATGCTTTGCCCTTATTGTTTTAATCAGTACTGTCTGCTGTTTTAGTGATTTCTAGTCGGATGCCCAGCTAATTTATCATTTATTTCTTTAATGCTAATTTATACGAGAGTAAATTCATAGCATGATCCAGTGTCACATACTGTAGCATTTATAGCCCAAGCTAGTTTGCAATGCCTGTCCTAAGATGGTCCTGTTCATTCATTCATTGTTTTGAATATGTGACCTAAACTCACTGTGAGCTACCTAACTGAATAACTGGTCATCACTCTGTTCTGTATAGTTGGGAGATGTGGACAAGCTTTTTTTCTGCCATATAAACTACACGTAGAAAAGCAAGTATCATATCATTGAACTTTTAAGTGCTTGCAAAGGAATTTTTAACCTTCATCTTCTGCTTTTTTTCCCTTGCTCTAAAGTGCTTTGAGAGTGTGAATAAGTGCACTGCATAGTACACAGAGGCACAGTAACACCCTTCTAATAACTATTATAGCGAAGCTTGCATCAGATTTGTGCAACCATTGAGAAATCTGTAATTTTTCTCTTCACTCAGAGGGATGAGGCTTATGATTTAACATCTCCTGCCACATACAGCACATCACAACAATACTGCTTGCTATATTTGCATCATTTTAATACATCAAGGTTTAATGGGAGCTTTTCACTGCTAATAAGTAAGCATCTCAGAGCTTTGCACTACAATAACTTCCTGATCCTATTTGTAAGCGTCTCTTGTTGCTGTAGTCATCCCTGTCCTCTCTAGATGTTTATGTCTGAGTCTGCTTCATTAGAGAGAGAGAGAGCGAGTGAGGTGTAATCACAATGTGAGTGTTGTCTCAGACGTGAAGCAATGCTGTAAACTTTCTGACACTTGCTATATCGCTCCTCTCCACACTGGACTAGATGAAGGAAAATGACCCTTTAATCGCCATGACTCACTCTTTGATTGAGAACTCTGCCCCAAGGCCTCAACTTTACCAGCAAGTAAGGCCAGCCAAAGGCTTTGCTCCGCCTCATCCTCACCAGTCGCTATTGTTCTTTTGGTCTGTTTTGCAATGCTCCTCCTTCGATGTCCAAGTCCTCACGGCATCTTGAGACTGGTCTCCCTGTATCGTTTGTATTGCCAGCACCTCCTCATCCATCGCTTTTGACTGTTCTCCTGTTATTGCGAGAAGTCATGCTCATAAGGCCATGACTTTAAACGAGTAGTATGGTATATGTATGCTCCACTGTTCAGTTCAGTGCCTTCCTCATTCTAGTGTGTGATTTTTCATAACCCTACACAATGTGTTCCCCCTCATTAGATGAGCCAGCTGAACTTGCCAGGAGGGCTCTGATTAGTGTGACTTAATTCTGTGTTGCCAGACCTGTCGTTTGTCAGTTCAGTGCATTGCCAGATACTTTATCTTTTTGTGTTTAAAAGGAGCCTGAATTTAAAGCCAGCAGGAGACTGTTTTTATGGCATCATTTAAGTGCAATAACATAAGCTGATTTTCATGTTTAGCATTGAGGATACATTAATATTCCACTTAAGTAAACAGCTAAAGCATCTGTGCTGACTATATAGTACCAATTACAGCTTATGTTGGGTCTTCTTTTTTTGTTCCCATTCTTTGCTAGTCAGTCAAACACTGTTCAGATGTAACGAATAGGGCTTCCAGACACGACTGAGTGTCAGTCATGGAATAGACTCTACCTAATATCGTCAAGGTTGGGGGGCCTACTGATGAAAATGAAGCCAGACTTTCTTTTTTTTTTTAGTAAACTTTCCCTTCTTATTTACCTGTATTCATTTCTTCCCCTGCCACCTCCTGTTGTCATTCCGCTGATGGAAAGGATAAAGGGACCGGCTTGTTATGACATCACTTTGCCACTTTTCTGACCCCTTGCAAGGTGTAAAAGTGCCGCCGAAGACTGCCCTCACCCACGTTCACCCCTTCACCCATTCATTGGCACACCAGCTCTGCAACAGCTGCATTCCCACCTGTTAAGCTGCCAGAAGTCTGTCTCCTTCCTCCTCCTTCTCCTTCTCCTCCTCCCCACGTCACTTGTAGTCCACACCACACCACACTACAGTGAACCTCCCCAAGCTGTGGGAGAGTCTGCATGTTCTGTGTGGAATGCCATGTGGTTCCTAAGTGCCACCTGCTTTAATTGTACTATGTGTTTCAACTGAGGAAGAAGGTGTTAAGAAAAGTGTGTGTGAAAGAGTGCAGGTGTGAGTGTGGAATGTTGGAGTATAAAAGTATTTGGACAGTGAGTCATATTTTTTGTTATTTTGCTATTTTTGGCACATTGGGTTTGAAGTGAAATAATGAGGTTAAAGTGTCGACTCTCAGCTGTAGGGGCTTTTTCAAATGCAGGGTAATTGTCCTAGATGTGCTCTTCAAGCAAAGCAATGATTATTTTTTTTAGGGCCAAACAAATATGCTATCTGACATCTGATATGCAGTCATGTGTTCCTCCTGCTAAACACCAGGCTGAAATCTAAACTCTCCAAAACGAGCCAGAAGGAAGTAATTGCAGTTCTGTTCTGCAGAGTCACAAGGGAAGATGCAGAGTGTCTGCTGTGTCTGCAGGTTGTACACTAGCCAGGAAGTGAATTAAATAGTCATTATGTCACCTCATATCCGATGTGGATACAAAAACAAAACAACACAGAAATATGCCACTGTCCGACTGTTTGTTGACGGTACTTGTTTTAGAAATGGAAACATTGCTGAATGACTATGTGATATGCAGATTTTGTGGAAACATGGGATCCAATGCAGCGGAAACACTTGTTTCTGTATTGTTTTTTTTTTTTAAATAGATAGATGAGTCTTATCTCAACTGGAAATAAGAATGAATTTTCTGACTAAACATAGGTGTTTTGCATCGTATAAACTAGTGCAGTCTGGTTTTACACCTGATTTGAAGTAGCTAAATGCCCATTTGTAATTGTTCACAGCATTACAACCCTATTTTTAAAAAAGACATCAGTGGTTAGGTTGTTCCTCTTGGAATATTTTTAAGTACTCTTTGACATAATGCAGTGCACACAGAGAACCTTGGACCAATTAGCTGCAGAGCATGTGCCTGAGACAGCACAGTTGGTGGACACAGCTTATGCGCTGACTTACAGTTTATGAAGCAAGATTGCTTTTCATGTTTTCTCCTGCATTTTCGATAAAATCATTGTGTTGTGCTGATGGAGACAAACGACCGTGGGTGATGAAACACAGGGCACAAGAATTATCAGCAGAGAGACGGTGTTAAAACTGGCTGGTGTCCCACTGCTGGCTTGGTAATGTAGATTTTCTGATTTGGTGAAATATGAGCTCTGACTCAAGGATGAATCTCGTGGCTCAGTGAGAGAGCCTTGTCATGACACTGCATTAGATCCTCAGATTCTAATGTGTATGTGCAGATTTGGTGTCTCTGTCTAATGTCTTGTCTTTCTTCACAGTTGAGTCCAGAAGACTTCAGGGAACAAGCCTATACATGTATGCCAGAAGAAGTGGATATTGATGTAAGTTCAGTGTTGTGCTCCTGCATGACATAATGCTTAGTTCAGCTACAGACAGTGGATCCCGACTCATTTTTGTTTTCTCCTCAGACTAAACTTAGCAGGTTGTGTGAGCAGGACAAAGTGGTGAGGACACAGGAGGACAAGGTCCAGCAGCTGTACAGAGAGAAGGTGACAAACACACAGCACATTAGTCATTGTTGCATCCTCACACAGAACAGAATGCTTACAAAGATGTGGTAGCATGTGGATAAAATACAAACTTTACAGAAGACCGTTTACAGTTTGTTGAAATTGTAAATATACACTGAGTTAAGTTTATAAGCAGAAAACTTAGAAAGAAAGAAAAAAAAAACAAAGAAACCTAAAACTCTTGTATGCCTGTTATTACACATAATTATAGCCTATAACTGCTGTCATCGGCTCGAAAGACTTGTCAGGCTTGTGAGGCTTGCATTGCTATGTCATATTTAGCATATCTGACTGTTTGCTAAGTGCAGACTGTTTTGTTGTACTGGTTGCTGTGCAGTGTTGGCAGACATGCAGAGTTAGAAGTACACCGCAAGAACAGTAATGCACTGTGTTTGTCCGACGTATTTAACCCAGCATTGCAGTCACTTACACAAAACCACAGTCACAGGAAATGTCCTCCATAAATGTCTTTATTAGTTTAATAAAGTAAAAATAAATTAAGCGTAACTGGAGGATAATTTAGAGTTCCCTCTGTTACTCTAAAAAACTAAATTAAGTTCTGAAATGACTCACTAATTGATTTGTCAGTCAACAGGAGTACATTAAATACTTTTTGCTATGGAATAATGAATGAAGGTATTGCTCAAGTAAAGATAGCTTTTTAATGTTCGTATTAATGCAGTCTTCACAATATTATATATAGCATCTGAGTTTCAAACTGTTGATAACACAAAAAAAGTAGAAAACTATGCTTTAGGCTCTCAGAGGAGCTGATGGGCATTAGTCATTATTTTTTACGTTTTTTTCGTACACTACACGATCTCTTAGCTGATCATAAAACAGGGCTGAAATCAGCTAAACATAGGCCAGAGAAGAGAAGAAAAAGCTCTGCTAGAAGCTTCAGTAATCCATCTTGACTTAACTAAAGTTAGCTTATCTAAAAGGTCATGGTGACAAATGAATTTGTCATGGTGTATGTGTGTTTGATATGTTGTGTGTTCCTTCAGCACACCCTGGAGACAGCGCTTCTGTCAGCCAGTCAGGAGATAGAGATGGGCTCTGATACCCCAGCCGCCATGCAGAGTGTCATCCAGCAGAGAGACTTACTGCAGAGCGGCCTGCTCAGCACCTGCAGAGAGCTGTCCAGAGTCACTGCTGTGAGTCATACTGTGCATTCACACACACTGCACGCGCTCCTGCTGCGCACCGAAGCTCTCTGTCTTCAAGAGTGATAATCAGATCTCTCACGTCCAATGCAGGAGTTGGAGCGGTCATGGAGGGAATACGACAAACTGGAGGGAGATGTGACTCTGGCTAAGAACAACCTGCTGGAGCAGCTGGAAGCACTGGGGAGCCCTCAGGTGAGACAGTTTTTGAAAACGAAGATGCGCCGCTTTGACCTTGCACCACTTCTGCCGTTTGTCGTGGCATCGCAGTTGGGCTTTGTTTGGACCACATATGCAGCAGAGGTTCAAAGAGAGCTGAAAACTTATTCAACCTTTTTGTAGACACTTTTCTGACTTTGGGGAAAAAGTAAAGATTTCTGTTCTAGTGCCCTGAGCTGAGTGTGGAGAGACGTAAATGAGAGATCAAAGTAACATAGTGAGTGATTGATGACTGCAGCAATGATGGAGCAGGTCTTAATAAGCTTGTCTTTTATCTTGTCCTTCATCACGGGAGTGCTGTAGAGACAGAGTGAAACAGTTCTAACAGTTATTCCTGGCTGAGTCTGACTCAGAGCCAGTGCAATTCAGAGTGGAGCAGTAAGGGGGCCAGCAGGGAGTCTGGACATCCTCTTCTTAAGTGCCCTTCACATAAAGACAAACCTGTCATCAGCAAGGGGGAGATAATTACAGGTCTGTTTCTCTTGCTCTTCTGCTTTCCCTCCTCCCCTACTTTGTCCAGTCTAACTATAACTATCTTCTCATCTCTTCTCTTTGGTGATCTCTCTCTGAGGCTAGTATTTCACTCAGGCAGCAGGAGCTTAAACAGATTAGTGTTTGCGCTGCCTACACACCTGAGCAGATATATAAATCATCCATTTGCTATTGCACACTCGCATCTTGTTCAGTTTCTTTCCGCGTCTCGCTCTTTCTCCCCTATGTTAGTTTTCCATCAGTGGCCGCAGAACTCCAAAGTAATGTTTTGGTGATTTATGAACATGTGTGTTTTCTGTGCACACCCAGACGGAGCCTCCCAGTCAGCAGCACGTTCACATCCAGAAAGAGCTGTGGAGGATTCAAGATGTGATGGAGGCCCTCAGTAAACACAAAGCCCAGAGAAACGCTGTTGAAGGGATGGGTTTCTATGGACCCAAAGCCAACTTTAGTAAGCACAAAAATGAGGTGAGGCGCTTTTTATAGAAAAACAAAACCAGTGCACCGGGTTTACAGGTGTCTAGTCCTGCAGCAGTCAAGCATTTAATCCAATAGTTGATTAAGAGAATTGTAATCGACAGCAATTCTGATAATCATCTAACCATGTGAATCATTTATCAACCAAAAATGTGTTAACATTTGCAGGATCAAGCTTCTGAAATGTGAGGATTTGTTTTCTTTCTTTTTCGTATCAGCGCAATTTAAATATCTCTGTGTCAACATAACCAACAAATTAAAGATGTGAGCTGAAAAGTATAAATATTAGGATGACTTAATCAACTGGCTGCAATAACTGGTCATGGAAAATAAAGGTAGTTTCAGGTCTTCACTCGCGTCTCCTGCAGTTGTGTGAATGATGAGCAACGTAAGCTGGGGGATCAAACTGCCAGCGCTGTTGGTGGACGTGGACTTTGTCAGTCAAGCTGTAGCAGCATGTGGAGCACTCTCTCTGGCTAATCAGCTACTCTGTGCCAGATGGCAGTTGCCCTGAGCCTGCATGGTGGCACCATGTGTCACCTCGCTTCCTGTCCTGTCATGCCCTGTATAATCCCCAGGAGGAGGACTCGGTACCCCCACGGCCACCCCTCCCCCAGTCCTACGAGCCCAACCCCCCCACCGTGCCCCCCGTGCCCTCTCATGCTGGCGTGCGCCCTTCGTCACTCCACAAGCCAGAGGACAGGAAGGCCAATCACAGGAATAGCACGCACAGCGTAAGCTCGTTGACCTGTTGACCCCATCGTTGACCCCACCCTCAGCTGTGTCACCACATATCATTTCTCTGTGATGGATTTTGACGTTTTACAACCTCTGGATTGCTTTTGGTTTTAATTTTCTTGATTTGTTCGTGACGCCATAACAATTTTTTTTTGAGTTTGTTGGCTAAGGCCTCATTTGTGTATTTTTTTCTTCTGTTGTTAATTTAATCGCCATGTCTTCCTTTTCTGTCTCATCCTGTGTGTTGAAAAGTGATGAGCTGTGTGATTTTATTTTTGTTCTGTCCTCGGTTGCAGAATAAGGGAAATTTGATTTTGAATGTGTCTGCCTGCTGCCTTCTTTCTGTTGAAGTTTTTCTGTATCCATTGTTTAAAGTTCTCCCAGTCTTCAAAGCATCATTTTATTGAAAAAGCATGCATGTTTACCAGTGTCTTTGAAGTCAAAGTAATTGGTACTGTTGTTGGAAATGTTGTGAATGCCACTTTGCAACCAAACTCTGCGTAACTAAATCTGAGCTGTTCTTCATGTGTGTTGACCTTGCTCCTTCTTTCTCATCGGCAGGGTCCTGACTACAGGCTGTATAAGAGCGAACCAGAGCTCACCACAGTGGCAGAAGTGGACGAGAGCAATGGAGAGGACAGATCTGAACATCCATCTGACAGAGAACACGCTGGACAAAAAGGTACATTAGAGCAAGAAAAAGACAAAATGATGTGATGTTACAGTTTCTGAAAATTGTGCAGTTTTCCAGTGAAGTCCAATAAAATATATTTTTAAACAAAATGCACCAACAAAAAAGACATCTGAGTGACCTAGTAAATTTAGCTGTGTACAAAATCACCCTCTTGTTCCCAAATACACTGCTCCCTATATAATGGACACTCAATAGTCAGCACACTTACTTGTCATCATCATTTTCCGTCATCACAGTCAGCTGTTGAGTCACACAATAGTCATTTTGGCATCTGTAAAGTGTGGGGCAGTGGATTGTAACATTGTTAGCAAAAAGTAGGGTACATGCTGTGGTCACTGCCTATTTTTAAAGGCGCTAATCGGCTGATGAATTTATATACACAAACAAAATAGGACACAGTATATAAAGTGCACTAGAAGTGATTTCGGACCCTTGTCCCTAGCGCAGATGTCAGTTTCCATGGTTACCATGGCATTTACATTGGCATCACATCACTTTGGTGGGTGAGGCTTTCTCTCCTAAGGTCTAATCTAGGTCAATTTATCACAAAATGACTAATGGCAGGCAGTATTTGTCGTACAGCAGTTGTCATGAATACAGTGGTAGTTGCACCAGCGTTTGCGTGACTTTAATCTACACTGCGTAAATCACAGTACAGCTTTTTAAAAGGTTGAATTGTAAAGCACTGAGTTACTCTGTGTACTTGACTTTATTAGGACTTTAGGCCACCTTACATTCTTTGTGGAAAAAGTGGTTTACAATTACCACAACAGGTAATTGGCTTAAATTTAGTGAAACAGCTTGCAGATCTTACAGCTATTCAGATTTTATCTATCAGAAGATTTTATGGGAAAATACCAGTAACTGTATTCTTAATCATTCTCATATGTAAGTAGCATAAGTACAAGGTTATGTGCCAATGTGTCCTTAGTTTGGATAATTATCAATTCAATTTTTTTTGTTACAACACGCTCTATATTGTCTAAGCTAAACCTCTTGTCTCTTTTTCTGACTAGGGATGTCGTACCCAGTTGGCATCGTCCCACCCAGAACCAAATCTCCAGTGCCTGAATCTTCCTCCATAGCTTCATATGTTACATTAAGGAAGAGCAAGAAGCCTGACCCCAGGACGGTAAGTCCATTGACTTTCAACAGTAACTGTAGCTGTTTGTATGCTTTTCCCTTCTTGTTTTGCTGTCATTGTGAGCCGTCTGTGTGCAGCTGACAACTGGCCACCACTTAATTTTGTTAAATTGTGTTTACTCCCATCGTAATTGGTTGTTTTACTATTAAGCTGTTGGTAGAACTCTTAACATGTGCAGCAGAGGCCAGTCGTCACATGGCCAGGGTGTGACTCATGTTCTCAAACCAGGCTGTCGTATAAAAACATGCCAAGTTTGGTTTATACAGTTTCCAACCTCAAACACTATCAACTTAAACACACTCACCATGTCATTAGTGCACCACACTCAAGGGTGTGTCCTGTTTTTAGTGAGTCTGTATGAGTTTGTGTTTGAAAAAAGATGGACATATAGTATAAATGAACCTGGGTGGATGCACACACACAGTGCTCGCTGTGGGCCCGATAGCCAGTTGTACTAGTAAAGTATGTCAAAGGCTTGTAGGGTTCAGCTTGGGTCCTTGATTACAAGCTTCTTGAACAATATGGACAGTGAAGACTACATCCTTGGGCTCTGGACTGAGTCCACATCTGCCAGCCCTCCAGCATGGCACAAACCTGAGAATGAACAACTTCTCCTCAGTTCACTTCACATCATCGGCCTCTTCTACTCAGGCATTAACAGGCCGCCAGCCTCTCTGAGTGCACCCATGTGTGCCGGCAGGAGCGTGTGAGCACACAGCAGTCAGGTTGTTTGGACTATTGCTCCGCTTGGTTGAAAGAGAGTGAACATTAAAGAGCAATTTCACAATTATTATTATGGTGATAAAACCAAGCTTGACTGCTAATTTTGTTCAAAGAAGCAATCATGTTTTTTCCAGTACATGTAGTATTGGAAGTAATGACTGCTTGGTCAAGTTTAGACTGCTTTAAACAATATTTAGTATTCACAGTGAATGCTGCATCATGGGTTCTCATCCAAACAGACCATGACACCGCTTAGCTACACACCACCCACTGAGCAGAAGACCTGGTGCTCTGTAAAGACAGAATTCACAATGGTAGCATTTGTGTTGTAGGGTTAAATATCTTGACAGTAATGCTATGTTATTATGAAATGAAATTCATTGTGCATCTTTATCTGTGTCCCTCTGTGATGTTTCTGCATGTGCTGTTCGTCTCTGACTAACAGGAGCGTCCACGCAGCGCAGTGGAGCAGCAGCTGTGTGCTGCAGAGAGTGGCCGTCCCAGGATGAGTGTGGAGGAGCAGCTGGAGAGGATCCGCCGCCACCAGCAAGGTACCCTCAGGGAGAAGAAGAAAGGCCTCAACATCCGAGGAAGCAGCCAGGAGAACACACCCTCTCGCAGTCACTCATTTACGAAAGAAAACCATTTCCGCAGCATGCAGGTATTGGGTGATAGGCACAAACATGTGGACACTGAAGTAGCATTTAAGTTAAATCCCGTTCATGCATCCCCTCATGTAATGCTTTTTTTTTTTTTTTTTTTTTTTTTTTNTTTTCTAGTCTCAAATGAGGCGTAGAGATGAGGTGATAAGCAGCGACATTCAGGAGCTGGAGGCCTCTCTCAGGCAGCAGGAAGTGGTGAGGGATCAGGAGACGCCTGCTGAGGAGATTGCCCGCCTCAAAGAGTCCTCGCAGGCTGACCACTTTAATGTGGACCGAGAGGTAAGGCACACCAGTTGGGTTTCTCTGTCATCAGCCTGCCTCCTTAGTCACCATTACTGAGAGGATAATATTATCATCTGCAAATTATTTAGCATTTTATTAGCATTAGCATTATTTCAATTAAAGTAGAATAATTAGAGAAAGTGATATAATTACATGGTATTACTGTTACTGTACCAAGAAGCAATTTGTGATAAATTAGAAATCTCAGCATTAAGTTCATTCTGTAGCTGACCATGCAATGGCACTTTAAAGGTACTGCAATCAAAGTAGCACCTTGAAATACTGGAGGTTCTGATTAATTTACCACATGCTTATTGAGAGTGCAAACGTATAGCAAAGTTCCAGAGAAAAATACTTAACAGAAGTTTCCTTGAGTGAGATGAAGAGTTGTATTTAACACCATAGTTTACCATTTAAACAACAGTAAATTGTTAAATTACCATACTAGCATATTAACAGGCCTAGCTTAGAAGTCTGTTGTTTTGTTGTTGTTTTAGTTTTTTTTTAGAATCTACCAATATGTAACATTGCAAAACATTCCTGCCAGGACTTTTCCCAACACCATACTGAGCATGACACAAAGACCCCTATACAGAAATGTCATTGCAGGCTGCTTATAAGCTATAAATGTGATTTTCAAATGCTTCTTATCACTTGTAGTTGAATTCACAGCCAACGTCCAGCTGACCTCTGCATACTGCAGATTGCTTCATGTTAGCTATTAGCCAGTGATGCTCCATTTAGTTTTAGAATACACAAAATTTGGAGCAGTCGTCCTCTATTGTATGATAATAAGGCTGATATTGAGCTCTTATGTGTTTCAAAATGCAATTTTGTGATTTATATCTGCATATTAATGTTGCTTCCACTTTTAGTTTCTGTGCAATTTGTCAGATTTTCCTTTTTTTTGTGCGACACATTCATCCATTTGTATAAAATGTGCTAAATAAGTGTTTCTTTTCTTGTTCTTCAGCTCTCTGTGCCTGACAAAGTGCTGATTCCTGAGCGTTACATTGAATCAGACCCAGAGGAGGCTCTGAGTCCTGAGCAGGAGGCTGATAAGCAGAGGAAGGTTGACCGCATCAAAGCCCTCATAGCCAAAAACAGGTAAAAACAGCATCATGATCTGTCTTTACCACTAACTATTTATTAGCACTGACAAGGCTGCTCAGGCCTTTGATATTAGATAAGGATGCTTTGGTGAAAGGGCCGTCTTTGCAGGTGAACAGTGATATTTCCCAGCAGATGTCATGCATGAAATTCTTTAGGGGTAAGTTTAGGGTCATACCAAGACGTTACCATAGATGGCTCAGAAGGGGGCACCGATTCCTGCCTGCTCTTTCCATGGAGATCAGTGCCTCAGATGTGTGGAAAGTCTATGTTCGTATCTCTGAGCCACTGTGACATTTTGCTCTAAATGTCAGTCCCCTTAAATTGATCTGAAAGAGACGGCCCGTTTGTCTGTAATTGTCTTTATCCAGAAACTATGTAAACAGTTAAAGTTGTGCAGTGCATTTTACAGAAAGGATTTCTGTGTGTGTGTTTGCTCCTAGCATGCAAAATGTGCTGCCTAGTATGGCTCTAAGCCCAGAGGAGGAGACTGAAGAGGAGGTTACAGTACAGGAGAAAGAGAAGATGATTAATATCTCCTACGAACTGGCAGCAGAGGCCTCCAAACGCAGCAAGCTGGTAGCAGGTACATCTCTAGAGAGGGACGAGGAAGGAGGTGGGGGGGATAAGATCAAAGTAACGCATGCGATAAAACAAAAGCTAGTAGAAGCCTGTTCTTAGAGACAAACTGTAGCTGTTTCTCTGTGTTCAGTCATTTATTTGTCACTGTAGTCTCAGTAGTTTCTTCATTGATTGCGCTGACTGCAGTGGTTATTTCTGTTGTTTTGCCATTTAGTCATTAGTAACTGATGTGATTTGTTGTTGTTTTTTTTGTTATCTTGTCATTTTGAGTGTGCCTGTGTGTTCAACATGTTGCTGTTTCGTTGCAGTGAAAAGCCTGTCGTCCTCTTCCCCACCCCTTCCACAGTCTCCCAACACACCCCCTCAACTCACTGACGGTTCTCACTTCATGTGTGTGTAGTAGCACCAGTAAGGGCCTTCATCAACCTGCTTTGTCCATACTCATATCACTTAAGTGTTCTGGGGGTTTCATTTTCATCTTTGTGGTATAAAAAAAAAAACATGGAAAAATCAAGGGTTTGATTAAATTTTAGGTAAAAACACGGGGAGGGGAGACTTCAGTTCTGATGTGCTTGTACAGTCGTCCTCAAATGTATTCATACCCTCCCATTAAAGAAGGAAAACAAAAAACAGCTGTCACTGAAATAAATTGAAATTGACAAAAGTAATAATAAATAAAAATTTAATGAAAATCATGACATTGCTTTTGAATTGTGGTTCAACAGAAATATTACAAAAAAAAACAAAACAAAAACAAAAACAAGCAAACAAGCATGATGGGACCCGTAAACTAATATTTTGTTGAACAATCCTTTGAGGCAATCACTGCAATCAAGTGCTGCTTATCAGCAAAGTGCTCTCATTTGTCCAGGACAGTTTTTTTTTTGTTTGTTTGTTTTTTTCAGCTCAAAAGAAATGTCTTATTTCACTGAATTATAATTTAGCAAATTTTTATTTATCATTACTTTTTTCAGTTTCTAGTTATCTGAGTAACTTGTGAATTTTGCATTTTCTTTAATGGAAGGGTATGAATACATTTGAGGATGACTGTATGTACTCTGTGTTGCTGTAGATTTTTTCATGTTGTGATATTTCTTGTACTTCTTGTACTGATATGACTCGACTCGGCATTTATACAGATGCATAGTCGACCTATAAGTCTTGGGCATGATTTAGGCATGCATGTCTGCTCTAGTTTATCGTGCACAGATTGACATTCGCCCTCATTGTGACCTCTCACCTCCTGTCCCTGCAGCACAGGCCCTGGCCTCAGTGAAAACGTACACATGAAGGAAACCGCAGGGGAGGTCTAAAGCAGTTCCCGAAGACTTTCTCCCAGGAGATCAGCACAAGGCCTCAGCCTACAGAGAGTGAAACTGCCTACTCCATACTCACGGGTCAACCTCTGACTTCTGTATGCTCACTGTGACGTCTTAAGCTCCTATGCCACAAACAACACTTTTTTTTTTGTGTGACATTTTCTCTGTTATCGCCCCTCTTTAGGGTGCAACACTCTCCTCAGCCTCATGACAATACACGCGTTACTGTTGCAGTTTCATCTTCAGTTTTTACAAGGCTTTTATGTTCATTTTTATTATTTATATGGTTTTACTAGGTTCTTGTATGAATGTGGGCCAGTGTCTATCTGTACATAGAGGAGGCTAAGAGACTGTTGTAAGCCTCGTGGCCCATGACAAAATGTTTTTCCATGCCACAGTTTTCATTCACGTTTCACCACTTGTTCAAAAAAAGGTTTCAAGAACATGTTTTCACATACTTCTGTTGAGTCTTTATTAATTCACTCAATTTGCTTTTTGGACATTGGTCATTAGGAAACCAGTCATATTTATCCATTTATTGTAAAGAACATTTGTCTATGCGAAAGATGAGTAGATAAGAGATATAGATCCCTCCATTATAATGAAAGGAGGAGTCACTTTATTGCTGCAAACTTAAGATTATTTGTAATTTCTCATATTTCTGGGTTATAATTATTTAAAAATGGGATCAGCAGTCCCTGGCGCATTGTTGCCAACATATATGTGAATGTTCTGACTTAAGTCACTCTATACTGTCCTTTTTTATTGCTAAGAGATATATTTAAACTGAAAGAAGGAAAGTAAAATCAGAGTTTGATTCTATTTTATGACATGTTGGTTTGACGCCCTGGAACTAAAAAGAAAAAAAAAGAAGAAGAAGGATTAGCACGTGTAAAAAGCAATAAAAATAAGATAATTTTTTTGTGTGTATAAAGTGTAATTATCAGAGGTTTACTGTGTATATAATGTACATGGTACAGCTGGATGGGAGGATATGTCCAACATATGGTTACATACGAGATTTGACTTGCAAATATCCAGTTCATATCCCATCTGTTTTATATCATGTTAAATAAATGTTGCTGTTCTTAATGTGTGTCTGTGTTGTTTTATCGTTCTCGTGTCCAGGAGAGGCTCAGTGTGTATAAGTCAAATATACTTAGTCCTGTACATCAGCTCAGGTTCAGGTTTTGTTAGCAACATAAAAAAAAATTGACATGTATGCTTGAATTGTGGAGTGATGTTTAAAAGTGTTGTCTTCATTAGAAATAATCAGATGTATGATGTGCTGTTAGTATGTGGTCAGACCTGCACTGTGAATAGTTGACAATTTCAGTGTTGGACTGTGGCGCCCTCTGGTGGTTAATCTGCTGCTTCAACAATGGTGATCATATGCAGTAACTGAACCTTTGTAAGCAGCATTTATCCTCATCTTCTCAGAGCTTAGATACACAGGCCTCAAAGTGAACGACACAATGGACAAAAAACACATCCTTTGTCAAGTTCCTGAATTGTTTTAATAGGTAACATAACAAAAGTGGAGGAGGAGAATGATTCTAACCCAAGACATAAAGCACATTTCATAAAGGGTTGGCAACTGACAAGTACTGCTACAATAGTTAAGAAATAATTTACTTATGTTTTGTAGGTCAGTGTGAGGGAGGCCAGATTGTGGAAATACCTGTGTTTGTCATTTCTGTTCAGCAAAAATAACTTTTAAATATTGAAGATCTGTCAATAACTTTATGTGGACTTAACACTTGATAATAAGTCGTAATAAGTCAAACCTTATTGCACGTTTCATACAGGATACTACAATTTAAAATGCTTTACATGTGACTGACAAGCTAGTCTGTTCAGTTCAAACACAAAACTATAACAGCAAATAATTGAAGATTTATGCAGAGGAGACATAAAGATAAGTAAATAATGATAAAACAAACCCAGAGACAACTTCTTACAGCTGGTGTTGCTTTATATTTATTTATATTTATTACCTCGGTATGTATGAATGGATGGATGTGAGTGATGAGGATGTCTGAAGGATTTTATTGCACTGATAAGTTGTTATTGCTGCGAGTATGACAACAATTTAATTGCAATTCAAAGATTTATTATTATTAAAATAATAATAACATCGAAAATAGATTTGGATACAAAGACAAATAGAAAATGATAAATAAAATTGTTGCTAGGGATGCAACAGGGATGATTTTTTCCGATATATCGGTGTCAGTCCGATGAATAAATTTAGCCAATGTGAAAAACCGATGATTGTCTAACATCAGCGCCTTCGTCTCTACATTTGATATTGCTGCTATTTCACAGATGTGTTCACTTAAATGGTTCTGGACTTGAATGTTAAATATGTTAAAATATCTTTTAATATGTTTAACTTTTGTTACGTAATAAAGAAGACTATGTGGTCTGATTTGTTACAGGCTTCTTTTGGATAGTTTTAACATTCCCATAGTGTTTACTTAGGCTAATTTTACGTTGTGAACAAAAATTGAATATCAGCATCAGTAATATCGCGATATTGGAAATCTTAATCTTGGAAATCTTCGTATCGGCCAGAAATTCTAATATCGTGCATCACTAATTGTTGCATAATAATAAGATGCAAACGTTTCCAGAAAGCTGAGTGGTCCATGATGAACATTTCTTAACAGATAAACCAAGTGTCCTGCAGAAGCTAAATGCATTTTTCACTGTGTGAGGATGCACGATATATCGGCGACAACATCGGTATCAGCCGATATCAGTGTTTTTTCAATACTTCCATATCGGTCCAAGGAACAAATTTAGCCGATGTGAAAAACCGATGATTGTCTAACATTAGGTCTACATTTGATATTGTTGCTATTTCACAGATGTTTTTACTTAAATGATCCTGGACCTGAACGTTAAATAAGTTAAAATATGTTTAAATATGTTTTACTTTTGTTACATAATAAAGAAGACTGTGGTCTGATTTCACATTCTCACAGTGCTTACTTATACTCATTTTCTGGTGTGAACAAAAATTGAATATTGTTATTGGTAATATTGATTATCGGCGATATCAGAAATCTTAATATAGGATATCATCCAGAAAAATGTTAATATCGTGCATCACCAATTGTTGCACATTAATAAGATGCAAACTTTTCCAGAAAGCTGAGTGGTCCATGATGAACATATCTTAGAAAAACCAAGTGTCCTGTAGAAACTAAATGCATTTTTCAGTGTGGAAACCAAAAAGCTGTTCTCATTACATCCAACACAAGCATTAGTAACTCAATAGCCCTCATACTGTCCATTCCTCTCAGCAGCTACATTTAGAAACTGGTCTTTATTCACGGTCATTTGGCTCTGACTACAGGCTCCAGCTCCAGTCAACAGCGTCTCTCCTCCACAGCAGGAGCTCTGTGATTTTGGGAAACACATGGAAAGTTTAAATACCAACGTCAGAGTGGCTCCTCCGGCCAATGAGAACGTCGGAGTCGCTCCTCTGCCCAATCAGAGCGCAGAGGCTGAGCGTGGCCCCGCCCTCCGTCCTCCTGCAGTCAGGCTGACGGTGTCATGAGGAGATTTTAATACCGAAAGTGTCCTCCGCTACGTGCGCCGCTGAAATGGCCGCTGCGGCTCCACAAGAAACACCCGCACTGAGCGGCGACAGCGACGCGACGCCCGCGGAGACCAACGACGGCAACGGTGATGAGGAGAAAGAAAAGGGCCTCGCCGAACCGGAAGCAGAGCAGCCGGGCGGCAGAGTAGAGCCGAAAATGGAAGAGGAGGACGCGGAGGCCGGTGAGGAGAAGCCCGCTGCGGCGGCAGACAAGGCCGCGAGCGAGGCGGTGACAGACGACGGTGCCGTAACGGTGAACCGGGAGGAGACAGCCGCTCCTGAAGAGGCAGAGCAGCGGCCGGAGGCGCAGCAGAGCCCCGGGGACGGGAACAACGAGACGACCAGCGAAAACGCAATAAAAGAAGCCAAGGAGGAACCGGGAGAGGACAGCCGGTGTTCGGGGATGGACTGCGAAAAGAGCAAAAGTGTTTGTGAAGATGGTGAGAAACCCAGCGGAGGAGGAGGAGGAGGAGGAGGAGGCGGAGGAGGAGAGCTGGGAGACAAGAGGCGGCCGAGTGTGGAGATCTCATCCTCGGATGGTGAACCGTTGAGCCGAATGGACTCTGAGGACAGGTTGGTCTGCGGAACAGCGGGGTTTGGGGATGAAGCTGTGGCAGGAGGTGTTCACAGCGGTGGCCCTCATGTCCCACCTATGGAGAAGAGCAGAGGGGCACATTATTACTGCTTTTAATTGTGCAAATTGTCCTCAGACTGTAATCAAAAATGCAATCATCCCACTTAATTGAACTTGTCATATTTGCTTCTTGAGTAGCTGCATTCAAGTTTTAAGATGTTAAAATACTTTTATTAATTGTTGCTTTTTAAAATGCATTTAAAAAAACTAACTAGATGCAAGACTTTCCTCATATATGCTACATGTACTATTGTCCCCATCACACTTGTCTAAGCTGCATTTTGGCCCAGCAACCTGTACACATGAAGGGTGAAGCTCAGAGTTCAAGTGAGCACAAAGAATGGTTCCACTTCCTGCAGCATCATAGCAAACAACTTTTTGCTTTGTTCAGTGCAGTGACAATCGAGCACATTTGTGTGGTGTTGAAGTAAAGCTGTGGCTTAAGACTTGCACTAGACATAGTAACACTTCTTTGATGAATGAGCGATGAGTAAACTGCTGACCACAATGTTAACAGCGCTGCAGGTTTGCTAGAAGCATTGCATGCTCCAATCACAAAATTGATTTGGAGTGAGTCAAAGCGGCATGCATGGAAAATCAGTTGCAGCCGAGAGGCTTTCACGCATAGTGTACTATGTAATGTGGCAAGTAATATCTGCACCTGTTCCTCGTGGCGCTGCAAATCCTTCTCCGTCTTTGTTTTGTAGCTGTGAAACCGTATCCCCCCTCCTCTCTCTCTTTTTCTAACCGTCTCGTCCTCTCTCTCAGTATCAGCAGCACCCTGATGGAGATGGAGAGCACGGTGTCCAGCGGGCGCTCCACCCCTGCCATGATGAACGGACAGAGCAGTGCCAGCTCCTCCGGGGCCAAGACGCTGGCTTACCCCTGCTGCTGGGACCTCTGTCCACAGTGCTTCAACTCAAGTCCTGATCTGGCAGAGCATATCAGGGGAATCCATGTGGACGGGCAGAGAGGAGGGGTCAGTAGACTTAGGAAATTTGGACGACCTTCGTGTTGATCCTCTTTATTCTGTCTGACTGGTAGCCTTGAATCCCTTTTTACTGTAGCTTCACATTGCCCATGCAGACACCAGAGTCAATGAAGGACAGTTTGCTGCCATTGGAGACTTCCAGTAATCAAAAAACGAGTGTGTATATATGCATGGGCTTCATCTGTGCATGCAACACTAACTTACTCGTGTTTCTACAGAAACCTGTTCAGTTGTCCTACTGCCTTTATAAAGCAGAAACTCTATGAGAATTAGCATTTGGTTTTCTTTTAAACTTGTCAGCCTGTAAACATATGAGATGACAGCAGTTTGTCTGTTCAGGAGAAGAACAGCAAGCTCAAATTCCAACTTGAAGCCAGAGCAGTCAAAAGGTTTTCTCCATCTCTGAAACACGATACTGACTGCATTTACTGTCTGACTTTCTTTCAGACTCCTATTTCAAAAAGCGCTGTTTTTTTTTTTTTAGGATTGTTTTGCGGTGTTGGCAGGTGTTGCCATTGCTGGAATAGCAACTTTTCCTGCATGATTTTCTGTCATTGAATCGGGCTTTCCTCCATCTGAAGGGATGTGCATGCACATCTGCACATCCAATAGGAAGAGCAATCCTCTCTTAAACGACCTGTGATTGGCCAGAGTCTCCGGTCATGGACTAGATTTTCTAAAGCTTTAAAATAGAGCCAAGAGGAGGTGCTGAAGTCTAGTTTCCTCTCAGAGCACCTGAATTACAATATGTTTCAAGATTAATATGGAGTTTTGCTCAGTGACACCCAAAAAATACTTCATCCCACAGCTTTAAAGAGTTGCTTCAACTTGATGTACACTAAATCGTTATTAGTGGAATCATTTTATAAATCATAAAATCTGGAAAACATAACACGGTAGCTTCTGAATGGCTGAACACACTTCTAGTGGTACATTATACCAACAGAGATAAAATAAGAGATTTAAAAGAAATATTTGTATGCATTGACTATTTCATTTTTGTTGATTCCTACATACAGCTTTCCATCCAGTGTGCTGCAAGTATGACAAAATATAACAAAAAAATTAAGAATTGTTTAGCATAAACATTCGAATGCAGCAGTGAACAAACATGACCTTGTTTTCTATGATCAGAATCAAGTATCAAGTATGTACACAACATACATTTAATTTGGTTCCGGCTGTTGGTGTCGCCCTAGGAATGAGCAAGAAAAATATAACAATAAAGTAAAATAACTACAGAAAGAAAACAATAAAAATAAAATAAATAATAATAAAAAATAAAATAAATATATACAAGAATATACGCATCTCGCAGAAAAAAAATATGTACAGTGGTGCAAAAAATGGCAATAGAAATAACAATGCACAGCCAATACAAGGTTTTGCAAAAATGATTCTGCTATAACAGTTATATGTTCAGATTTTCAAATACAAATACAAGAGATGATATCAGAAATCACTCCAGCATCTTCTGCCTGTCGGCTGCATCCAAGAGAAGTACCCAGACTACAGAGAAATCAAAGTCAGGACCACGCAACTTCACATATATATTTTGAGAATTCTTTCTTTGTCTTTCCGTCTAAAGCTCAGCGTTATGCTTTACCCATCTGCGAGTATGCAAGGGTACCAGCCATGTAAATTTTGCCATCTGCCCAAATCCACAAGAGCCCACGTGGACTCCATTGCAGACCTCTACGTCAGCCCAAAATTTGTGTCCGTGCAGCCGCTACACTAAAAGGGGCAATTGTGTACATGTTGATTTATGGAACACATTGTTAAGTGGGGGGCTGCAAGGTGGCTCAGTGGTTAGCAGCGTTGCCTTGTGGCTAGAAGGTCGCCGCTTAGCATCCCGGTGAGGACGTCTGGGATCTTTCTGCGTGGAGTTCTGTCCGGGTTCTCCGGCTTACTTGAGGTTAACTGGTGATTCTAAATTGTCCATAGGTGTGAATGTGAGTGTGCTTGGTTGTCTGTCTCTAAGTGTAACCCTGTGATAGACTGGCGACCTGCCGGTGTTCGCTGCCTTCACCCTAAGTCAGCTGGGATAGGCTCCAGCCCCCCTGTGACACTAGTGAGGATTAGGCGATGTATAGATAATGGATGTGGACTAAAAAGCAGTATAATGACAATGCATCTGTGTGTGTCTGCAAGAGAGTTGCTTGGCACTTTTTTTACTGTTGTGTCCGTCTTTCTCATACTTTGTTTACTTTGCCTTTTGTATATAATCCCTTTTCCCCCTCTTTGTGTCTTTCTCTCTGTGTTCCTCAGGTATTTGTGTGTCTGTGGAAGGGTTGTAAGGTGTACAACACACCGTCCACCAGTCAGAGTTGGCTCCAGAGACACATGCTCACCCACAGTGGAGACAAACCCTTCAAGGTAAAACCAAGATGTGAAAAAAAAAGATGGCTCTTCAGTTCCTTCCTTTTTTCACCCTCCTCCATTCTGACTACAGGTAATGTGTTTAGTATCAACATCTACATCCACTCATATGTTTTTCTTGTTGCCACTCCTCTGCTCTAGTGTGTAGTTGGTGGCTGCAATGCCAGCTTTGCTTCCCAGGGAGGCCTTGCTCGCCATGTTCCCAGTCACTTCAGCCAGCAGAGCTCCTCTAAAATGTCCAGTCAGGCCAAGCTCAAGGAAGAGTCTCCCTCCAAGGCCGGACTGAACAAGAGGAAGAAACTCAAGAACAAACGCAGGTGCTCCCTACGTACGTACCTAACAGGCACACAATCTAACCCTGTATCGAAATGTCTCTCATTGTGAATTCCCTCTTTTCTTTGTTGATAAGGATTACAGCCTAAGCATATTTTGAGGTAGTGCTGTGCTTGTTGTGCTCAAACAAATGTTTTCAGCTTCCAACCTCCCACATCTCTTTGTTGGAAAAGCGAGAGCTGGACCACACACACTAACACCCACACAAACAGCAACATAAGCTGGAACCAGCTAGACAGACACATTCTCCCCCGTGGTTGAAGAACACTTTTGCCTCCATTTCTGTAGTTTCTTCTCAGCTGATGCGTCTGTCATCAGGCAGATTCTGATAATGATACGTATAGAAAATATGTGTGAAGTCTATGTTTAGAACTTACCGTACAGATGGAGGATGCAGTTTTCTGCTGCCACTGTACACCACAGAGCTCCTGTAAGACTCAATTTGATTTTTTTTGTTGATTTATTTGGTCATTAAAAGACCAAACCGAAGGCTTTGCATTATTCAGTCACTCAGCTATAAATTGTGTAAGGATATTTCCTAACTTTTTTTCAAAGCACATTGTTTTGAATTGATTTGATCCTACATAGTGATTACTTTATATTAACTTGAGTAGAAAAATTAACCTAAACTTTCCTGAGATAATAATTAACTCAAGTAGACTCATTTCTTCTTTTTGCCAACCCTTAGCCACACGATTAAAAATTCAGTTTTCACAGACAAAATGTCATTTAAACATTGAGTTTCTGCAACTTGTCTGACATAGAAAGTATTGCTCTGTCATTAACAGCGTCCGGATGGTTGTCATTTTTCTGAAATGTTGCAGATGTTATTTTTGTGGAACCACGTGTGTTTTAAGTGAGTCACCTGCATAACCATAGCCTTCTTATTAGCAGGAATGAGGAGGTTTGGAATATTTTTTATATGTGAAGTCCCTGATTCTGAAGGTTGAAACAGTTTTTTGAAAAAGCTGATTTTGAGTGTTTGATTTAAAATGATCTGTACTACATTTGGTTGCAGACATTCTGATGCCCTTTTTATATTTCAACAATCTGTTCACATAGTGCCCTTGTCTTTAAAACAAAACAAAACAAAAAATCTTCAATATAGATCAGTAAATTAACGTGTAGTAAATGTTCCTTTCATGCCAGTCTCCTTATCGTGAGCTATGCATGCAGGTGATCTCATTTTTAAATAGTCAGTTTAAATAAAAGCATAAAGTGCCAATATTTTTTAGAGCCTCTAAAGTATAAGTAATCAACATCCAGTTGTAAAGAATGGACCAAATGTGTAAAAGCTTCCCATTTTCTATTTTGTAACAATCTATTCTTTCTGACACATTTATACAAACGTTCTTTCTCTGTCTTAGCTGTAATAAATCTATTTTCTAATAACTTTAAATGTCAAGAGGTCAGAGTTTTTACTGATTACAGTTTGTCAGAGTAACTAAAACACACGTCTTTAATTAGTTCAACTTCCAAAGGAGAGTTGGACTGCTTTTTTTTTTCTAAATAATTGAATAACTTTTTACTGATGTGGGTTTTTCTTGTTGCAGGAGCGGCATTTTTTAGTCATGACATGATTCTGAGGTAGATATGGTTAGTTGCAGAAAGCCAGGGAAGTTTTTCTTTATCTATCAGGGGCCAAGAAGGAACCCTGGTATTATGTTGTTAGTTTTATTAATTTATTTTTTTTATTTTACTTTTTGCTCATGTGAGTCTTGTCTTTCTCCCCCTCCAGCGAGGCCCCACGACTTCTTTGATGCCCAAACCATGGACGCTATCCGCCACAGGGCCATCTGTCTCAACCTCGCCACCCACATCGAAAGTGTGGGCAACGGCCACAGTGTTGTGTTTCACAGTACGGTATGTGCTTTACTACCGCTTGTCTGGTAGCTTTTTGCCTCTCACTGTTTGTTAACAGTGTAATGCATTTAAACACAACAGGGGAGATTCAGAAACAACATCAGAAAAGCTACAGTCCTTTTGTTTGTGTGTTAATATCAGATGCACTCCTCTGGTTTATGTTTGACTTAGTGCAAAATAATAAATGTTGATCTTTACTTATCTTCTAACTGTGCACGGTGAAAGGTTACATTGTACTATAGAGTAGAAGGCAGTATAACACAACATGCATTGAAAGGTTTAGGCTTGTTTTATACATTTTTTTGAGCCTTTCTTATTTTTATTTTTTTTGCCTTTATTGGATCGTAGTAACAGAAATACACAGGACCTGTGGGAAAAGAGAGCAGTGGAATGACATGCAGCAAAGGTCTGGCCCCCCGGGTGTCAAACTCGGGACAAGAGTGCATTTTCACCGCCTGGCTATAGAGCTGCCCCTGCATCTGTATATTTAAATCTGCATGAGTTTTAGTAACAGCACAGGTTGATTACTTTGTAAATTAATAAATCATTCACACATGTGCTCAGCTCATGTGAACTTTTGTAACACCACAAATAATGTTAATGTTTCTTAAAGTCATTCATCCAGAAAGCGGCGTCATGTTCCTAAATAACGTCACCATCTAATCGTTATATAATGAGCAATAAAAGATGAAATGGACTTTGTGTTCACTTTCATCTAAATAAACAGCAAACAAAGCATTTTCTCTTCAGGAAGACCAATAAAGCTGTCTCTCTGTATCGCTTATAGTACCTTAATTTAATTGTGCAAGCAGATAGCTTTGGCTTTTGGTTAAGTTCTGCTTCATATGAAAATGCAGACGTTTTCGTCTTCTTTATAGACAACAGGGGGCATGAAAGAGTCACTATTTAAAAGCGTGCCTCCAATGATTGCAGATCTTTTTTTTCCCCCCTGTGCACTTGAAATGAACCTGTAGAAACGCCTCAAGGCTTGATGTTGTTTTTCTCTGAATCAGGCTTCACAGGAAAGACAATTGAATTGTTTTTGTGTGCTGTTTGGTCCATTCCAAGCCCAGTGCATGATCTATTATTAATGAACTGTAAAGTGCCTTTGCCCCTTACCATTGAGGACACATAGGAGCACCCACAGGGAAAAGAGGTTTTTTTTTTAGTAAAATATGTTGTTCTTTCTTTTTTTTTCAGTTTTGTGGCAAGGAATTAAAAAAAAAACTGAGCAAATTGATTGAGTTTGATATACGGGGAGGTTAATTTAAGATTTTTGGGATGTTAATGGTGTGGGTAGCACTTTTAAAAAAAAATGACTGCTATTCTTATGCAGTTCCACTAGGGAGCACTCTGTCTCCTGATCAAGACCCTTAAATAGAATAATGGCTTAAATTCTCATTAAAAGCTGGGAAACAGTAAGAATCAGCATGTGCGGTCTAAACCCCTGTTGTTCACATGCTGAATATAAAACCCACAAACAATCCCACTCCTCCAATTACATTTGTGAACAGCATAATTCTTCGTCAGTGACAGTGATTCTGTTTACATTGGTTATCTTTGGGCAGACATTTGGACAGTGTTTCCTGACTTTAGCACTCTGCTGGGATTTTTTTTTCCAATTTTGGATCTTTTTCTCTTGAGATTGAATACATGTCTAAATTACACAATTCATATACTAGGCTACAATAGAATGTCACCACTGGCTAACTGAGCAGAGACAAAAGAGAATGTACATTTTCACCAATTGCAAACAAACATCCCCTGTGGCCTTAAACATGTGGCTTAATCCAATTAGTAAATACTGTACATTTGAAGACACACACAGGTGTTGTTGAAACATTTCTAATGATATTAATTAAGGATATTTTCTAATTACAACTAACTATATTGATCACAATATGACAGAGGCATGGAAAGTCATGAAACTCTTGTGTTTTTAATTACAACTTGTTGGTAATATTGTGAATTTGTACTACAGCACTTCAAGATCATATTATCACAATGATAAAAACAGTGTCATCCCATCTGAATGTAATGAATGCTGATTCCCTAATGAAGCCCTGGTACAGTCGTGACTTGACATTCCGACCCTTAACAATCCGAAAACCTTGCTATCTGACAGGTTTTTAGGAAAAACGAACGGAACCCATAAAAATAGCCTTAACATACCGACAGCCTTGGATTCCGACTCCAACGTGACATCTTATGTCACAAATAAGGATAACGACGTATTATCTGACCTAACAATCAGACAGATTGGCTACGTTCAGACTGCAGGACTTAATGCTCAATTCAGATTTGTTTGTGAAATCAGATTTCTTTGCGAGTTTATTCACATTTCCAATTAAATGCAACATGTATGTGATCTGCTATGTGAACTTCATACGACCCAAAAGTGTCTCACATGTGCAGAAGAGGACACGACGACGTCACACACAGCAAGCATGGCATCAGCAGCCACTGTGCGTTCCGGCCACTTCCACTCCGTCAGAGCACACCCCCGCGGTTGAAGTGCCCCCCCGACCGCGCGGAATATTCAGATATTCATCATTAATTGGGTCTGAATATCCAGAGACCAGAAAGTGCTATTCGGACCAGCTCTACTAGTTATTATAACAACTATAAGCAATGAATATTAACAGCAAATGACCCATCAAGCATCAAGCCCTCCTTGTATCTCGACCTCCGTCTTGACAATCCGACAGCCTTGCTATCCGACATAAAAGAAGGTTTTACATTTAGTGTCGGATTATCAAGTCACGACTGTATTTTAACTTTCTCACAGACAGAGAATAGAGATCAAAGGATACAATAGGTAGTTTAAATGTAAGTATGTGTAGTTGTGAGATGCACTTTCATATTGTACAGACATCTCTAATGCAGACACATTCAGTATGCAAACACAGCCATTCCTGTTTTTTCCTTGTAAATAATTTAAGCATCTACAAAAATGTAGTGTTGGGTGCAGTTTAGGACAAACTTACTTTTGCCTTTTGTTCACGTTTAAAGTGTAATTCGTGTTGACATCAGTGCGATCCTCGCTACAGTACTACCCTGCTGTTGGAACAGTCCCATTCAGCTCTTTTCTGCTCTGCTTCTACAAACCTCAGCTGCTCAGCGGCAGCCAAGAATTCAAAAACAAAAAAAAAAGTGAAGATAAAGCTTGGGAAGAGGTTAAAAGAGGTAACTGCATATTTGGACACAGACTGAGAAGGAGGAAGAGCCAGTCAAGGGGAGGGAGAGTAACAAATGGAGAGAAACAGAGACAGAGAGGACACGGAAAAGAGGTTAAGTGAAGGTCAGGGTCATGGAATCGGAAGGAGATCTGGCCAGTTGGGCATACATTTCCTTTCTTTCGAGGCTCTGGAGGATTGTGGTCGAGGACTGCGGTGCTGAGCCAGACCCTAGGCCCCAGTGGACCCTCCCTGGCCCGGGGAGATGGAGCAGAGCCGTGGGGGTTCTGTGGAGTTTGGCCGGTGGGCCTGCTGACCCGCCAGAGCAACTCAGTCATGTTTATGATGGGATATTTTTGTTATTTCACCAATCTGCGTCATCCACAGCTTGAACCCCTGACACTAGACAGGCACCCAGTTTTAGCAGGCTGCCCTCCCCCGGCTTCGGTCCTGCACTTTTCACTGCCTTGTTTTGGAGCCACACTAATATTCACTGTTCACTCCTTACGTCGTCCTGCTCGCGCTCCCCCTCCCGTTCTATTACTTCCCTCCCTCTCTCTCTCGCTTACCTCCCTCCCTTGGGTTTATAGAGGATTAAGATCTGTCCCTTAAAGCACCAACTGCCATCATCAAACCACTCAGCTCACAAATCACTTCATGCTGCTTAAACACAAGCCCACTTCTTTATCTTCAGCCTTTACATACATGGTCATGGCCCTTTCAAGTGTAGCCTTGGCTTGTGATTATTAACCTGGTGCTGTGAGAAGCCTGAGGGCACAGGTTAACAGCTATGTATTTTTAATTAAAAGGGCAGTAAAGCAGCTGGCTGGTGTACTGAGTCTTACCCGCAGGGCTCGAGACAATTGTATAGGGTCCATTGCAGCTAGCTTCAGGAGTCAGACTTTCTGTAGCTAGTCTGTGAGAAATTGTTCTCCTCCGTGTAGGTTTAGTAAGCCAGAAAGCTAGCAGATAAAGGCTGAGGGAGATAAGTAAAAACAAAATGAACTACAATGCTAATTTATGAGGTGAGACGAAGGCTCTCAAAAGTCAGGGAGGAGTTTTTACGTCCCCCAAAAATTACGTTGGAAATGTCACAGCGGGGTCTCGAAAACAGTTTAGGTTGACTTCAACTGGCAAAGGACATGAATTCTCTGTCAATTAATTTGTGATCATATTTTTTGTACTTGAAGTTGAACACCTACATACACAAACAGCACATCAACATGAGCAACATTTGGCTAAACGCTCCTGAACAAGTTGCACCTTGACTAGATGCTTTTGGTAGCAAACAACAAACTTCTGGCATCATTTTGATGGGATGTTTGACCGTTTTTCTTTGTAGAAATGCGATATTTAAGTTAAATTGTTCAGTTTCCTGGTATGGACGCAATCTTTAAGCACAATCCACACATTTTCGATATAGTTGTGGTCAGAAAACCAAAAACTGCTTTATCCATCCCGCAACCAGCTTTGATGTATGTCTGGGGTCACTGTTCTGTTGGGACACCCACGTTGTCCATCTGATGGTTTTAGCTGATTCTGAGGTCGTCTTCTTTATTGTGATATCCACGTTGTACAATATACCAGTGTCACTGGCAGCAAAATCACTCAAGAGCATAATGCTACCACCACCATGCTTCACATTTAATACAGTGCTGTAAGTGCCTCACCTTTAATCCACCAAACATACGTATGGTCATTGTGGCCAACAGACACGTTTTGTCTCGACTTTCCTTGCAATGCAAACTTTAGTCAGGCAGGTAGGCAGGTTGGCAGGCTTGTGCAGTTCCTTGGTTGTCCCAGAATATCCAGTTCAGTTTCTTCTCAAAGGGATTTGACAGTTTGAGTCTTCTTTCTTATTTCTGCGAAGTACCTCCCATTAGCTTGTACTTCCATACGGTTGTTTGAACTGATGATCCGGGAATCTGTAGTTGTTTAGAGAGGGCTCCAAGAGACATTCTTGACCTGTTTAAAGCTTTGATCCTCTTTCTCAGATCTGCACTGAGCTCCTTGGATTTTTCCATTGTACTATGTTGGTCAATCTCATGAGTGCTGTCAAACAAATCCTTTTTACGTTGGCACAGACAGACCACCAGCTGTAGTCAATCATGATTACTATCGGGAAGCTAAGAGGCCTTGGCCTTGGCTAGTTGAAAGACATTTTGCAACGTTCAGCACTGAATTAATAATCTAAGTGGGCGTATTTCTGACCCTGTGTTAATTTAAACTTGTACACTTCCTTTTTTTATATACATATAAATATGAATAAAATATGTGTGTTTTACTATTATTCTGCCCTAGAAAAAGAACATTAGAAGACATTACAAAAAAGCTCAGTTACATTCATTCATGTCCAGGATGAGTGTTGGTAAAATAGACAGCTAAAGAAAGAGATTTTTCTTTTAAGTTAGTAATTATTCAGTGCAGTGTATGGAAGAGAACACGAGCATAACGTTGCCTAAAGTCAGAACTAGAATCCACTGAATATGTGAAGTTAAAGTGTAAGGCTCATTGAAATGGAGATATTGGTGTCAAGTGCTTGCCAAAACTTCTGCACCACATCACAGTAGTTGAGTGAAACGAAACATGAAGCAAGAGAGGGGGGCTGCAGACGGCATCGTCCCTTCATGTTCACACATGTGTATCAGTGCGCCAGCCCAGGAGAATGGCCCCTGACATGGAAACAGATACTGACTGAAATCTCCCCTGATTATTATTATTTTGTCTTCAGACTGTTGTACTCCAAACGGTTTAGATTTCACATCAGCACTGTTTTGGTAATGTGTGAGATGCGCGGGCCATTTTTCTCAGTTTCATCACTCATACTGTTACAGCAGCTTTGCTCTCCCTACTTGTTCTTTTGTCCACTTTAAGGAGTTTTATGCCTGAACACTGTATTACAGACAAGAGGCAATGTGGTTGATTTGCCAACTTGGCTACTATTTACAAAGCTTCTAGTAGACAAATGTTAAAGCACCAATCCAGCAACAACACAATTCATCTCTGCTAACCCAGCCTAAATATCCCCTTAAAAAAACGTTCATCAGTCTGTTACCGGACATGTTTGTGTCCCATTTGCTTTTTTCAAATGTTTGCCAGACAAAATAAAAAGAAAAGCTTTATCCGATCTGTCAGCTATATCCACTTACTTTTGAAGGTAGTGGGGTGTCAGATAAATAAAAGGCATTTAGGCTGCTTAGAATAAAGATAACAATGCTCGTTTTGTCAAAAAATGGAAAGGTAGGAACAGTTGTAAGAGGAGGAGAGTGATTCTAGGTCTCTGTCTCTGTATTTCTTGTCTCAGTGGAGCCTCCTCCCTTCTGTCCTCAAACCAGTTTCCATCAATGCCAGAGTTAGTCCCTGGAGTCACAAAAATAATTTCAGATATTCATGTGCGTAAGAGAAGTTCTTCTCATGTGAGCTCATTCACCATCCTAAAAACAGACCCTCACAAAAAAAGCCAATTGACGCAAGAGGTTATATCGAAGGCTATTTTTGACACTCCTGGTTATTTTTCTTGCCTCTCTTTTCCCTACTGACAATATTTGTGAATTCCAGAACAGTTTTACTATAAACCAACACAGCATGACAGATGAAATGTTATGCATAAAAAGAGCCAACTATTCAGGAAATCTAGTATTGTCTCAACTGTATTTTCACAAGAAGAGAAGCCTTGAAGTTTGCGGTTGTGTTGCGAGTTCAAGAGTCGAGTATGTGAGCCAGGTAACAAAGAAAAAAGTGAACACAGTGTGACAGGTTACTGCCATAAATATTATCAAGTGGATGCTGGTCTCCACTAAACACATTCCTGTTGAAGGCATGAAGCCTCTGGTGCTGACACAACCCACAACAAGAGCAGTGACTTGTGACTTGTGTACTGATTGTGTTCCCCAATGTCTATCCTCCTGGCTCTCCAGAATATCAAGTCCAGGTACTCTAACTAATACAAGCTAAACCTGGCACATTGGTGCAAATATAATGCTTGTAAAACCACAAATTGGCTTGAAATTTACAAAAAAAAGTAACATTTGGGTTATGTTACTTGCCTGTGTAAATGTTTCGTGGCTACTTTTCCTTAGTGAAGCGAGCTTAATCAATGCTTTATTGTTTCTGTGCAGGTGCTAGCCAGAAGAAAAGAGGGATCTGGCAAGGTGAAGGTCCTCCTACACTGGACACCTGAGGACATGTAAGTAGAACAACCCATATGGATGAACCTTTAGTTTACATTACCTAACGTAGAATCAAATTATCGAAAAATATATAGACACATAAGGGTTAAATGTCTCTCTTAGGTTGTTGATTTCATCTTTCAAAACTCATGTGTGTCAAAGTTGCATATTTAGAAGTTGTTTGTTTTTCATGGAAAGAATCCCTCTCTGCCCTAAATATCTTTAATGAAACTCTACATCGTTGCTTCCTCTAAAATAAGCAGATCTATGTATGAATTGCCTTTGTCTCCACCCACCCCTCATCGCTCACTGCTCATCAAGCACACCAGCTCACCTACGACTTAACTTAGACACTGAAAAAGTACTCCACACTAATATTATGGCAAGTTGTGATATTGGAGTGAATCAGCCATTTGTATTTGACCTACAAACTGATTCTGAAGAAGAATAATGATACAGAAAGCCCTACACCACAAAGTGACAGAATTGTTTCTTAGGTCTGTTACGTGTGAAACCTTGGTAGCCTGAATCCATGTTCTGTGAAGCTGCTGTAGTCGGTACAGTAGATACCTCTGGGTCAACCTACCAGATTATCTAACTACCTGACTAATATATGTATTTACTGTAGTTTGATCCTGATGAAACTGGTTGAGATCAGTTTGAAAATGCTGCTCAGTTTTCCTTCTTAAAGGTTTGGCTATGTGTTTGTAGGCAGACGTAGACGTCACTGGTGTAAAATAAAGCAGTTTAACACCACATGTACAAATCTTCTCTACATATTTAGCCATGTAAAGTCTGGACCTGTTGCAAAAACATTTCCTTTTTGAGCAGCAGGGGTGCATACATGTGTAAGTGAACATCAACAGTGTATGTGTATCTGTCTCTGGTAGTTTTACGATTCTCCTTTCCATCAAGTCGCGCATGCAACATGGTGGCCTTCCTGCACCTCAGGGCTTGCTTGTAAATCTTCCTCTCTTGGCTGATCCACTATTTGTTGTGGAGAACTCTGAGGAATCTAGGTCCCCTATAGTCCATGTCATACCAGCTCCTCTGTTTGAAACCATAGGCGCTCCTAAAATGGGTTTTAGCAGTGATTATTACACTTTATTTTCACTCTGTGTTATAATACTCACATTCATGTATGAAGCACTGATGGGGGATGAGTGGATTTCATTCAAAAGTCTGCCTCTGGTCCACTGAAGTGTCTTTTTTTAAGACCAGCATCCAGAATTGATGTTTTCTCCTCTGTGTGCTCTACAGATATCTTATCAGTTTTCAGTTTTACTAATTAATGTGCATCACAGTATTTTGACGCAATAGCTGGAAGAACTTGCAGAAACAAAACATGTTCAGACCATTGGGACATGAGCCGTTCCACCCAGTCCTTACCAGATCCATGCCTGTTTCCAGCTTAGCCTCTCCAGTTTCAGCCTACTGGAGGTGAACACTGGAACCCCATTAGCCCCAGCTCAGTAAAGCAATCGGGGAGAAGGGCAGGCAGGTTTGGCACTTCGCTCTCATAGAGGGAGAGCTTCACTGAATGCTGTGATTCTCAGCAGGGCTCTTGCTCAGGGGAAGCGCCCACCACACTTCCAACTCTCCCACACTCCCATTAAAGGGTTTGACTGCACAGCCTCTGAAAATGATCAGAGAGCAGAGAGAGGAAGAATGAAAGAGAGAGAAGAAAAGGGCGGAGGAGTTGGGAAATGAGAACAAGGAGGCAGAAAGGGGAAAGAGGTGCATAAAGTGAAAAGAGGCAGGAAGAGAACAAGGTGAAAGGAAGCAAAGAAAAGGTTGGAGAATGAAGGTAGAAATGAGTTTAGCAAAATGGAGAGCAAAGATGGCACCGGGCAAAGAAACTTGGATGATGCATCATGAAGCAGTAGCTAAACCTTTAGCTTCTCTCAGGTTTCTACCACTTCATCCTCCAGTCCTTCCTCCTCGTCTTTCATTTTCCCCATCTCTGATCCACCTCTACAATCTTCTCCTCGCGCTGCATGTGGGAGTTTAATCTTTCTGCAGAGAGAAATAATGGGTGTGGGGGGAAAGGAAGAGAAAGATGAAGTTTGATGACCAGGAAAGACTCCTCAGATTAATTCCAAATGCAGAGACAAAGATGGAGATTGATGCTGAGACTCAAAGACGGATCGAGGCAGAATGGATGAGGCGAAGAATGGGGGAGACAGAGATCGGAGGAAAGTGAGAAATAGGAGTGGGAACAAAATGGCTGTGGGAGAGAGAGAAATGTGAGGAAGAGGCAGAATGAAAGTAGAGAGAATGAATGATGGGGAAGGAATGAAATAGAAAGATGGAAAAAAAAAGAAAGAGTGAGACTGCCTTATGGCTTGGTCCATGCAGGAGAAATCAGTAACACTAGTGAGTCATACAGCATTTTTGCCCCGCGGCAGATGAATGTTCTAGTCGTTAATACACATAATCAAACCATAAAGGATAGGGGACGGAAATACACAGATATGTGTTAAACTGTGAGGATGACTTGATATCTCCCAGCAAATTAAAGTTTACCAGAGGATTATGAAGTGTGTCTGCATGTACGCCGCTGCATCTTTTCTGTTGTGCGCATATTGTAATTGACTGTAATTGCTTCTCGTCTCGAGCCAACTACCTTTTTTTTTTTTTCCTGCTGAAATGGCAAATGTCACTGACTCAGTGGCAGACAAAAGAAATCCAAAAAGCACTTGATAGCTACACACACTAAAAGACTGACACTAAAGTTGTCTGAGGCAAAGGTTCAACATCTTTAGCAGTTACTGATCCACTTGTGAGACATGAATATATATGAATATATAGACACATTTGTTTTTGTGTTGCAAAGCAGAATTAAACCCCTTTCAGACAGTCACTCCAACAATCATGCTAATTCATACCTAGAAACATTTTAGTTTTACTTTTCAACATAGGCACAAGTCTGAATTTCACACAGTCACAATAATTTATTGGCAATAATGTCCAATCTCATGTGAATATGGTGTGAGAGCCGTGGCGCTCCTCTGTCCCTGTGGTGGGTACATCTGAATAAAGCCATAAGAAGCATGAATGTAAAATATAAATGACAGATTGCTTTTACTTTAGCAGGCTGATGAAGGCAGCAATGATAGATCTCTTGTGTTTGAAAATGACTTTAATATGTCTTAATTCTGACTTAAGACTGTTCTTCCAAATAACTATATCTGACTGCTTTGTTTCATATCTTCAAACATATTTTTTTTCCTTTTAAACAGAAGAGTTTTAGGATGAAAACTGATGTTTTGGGTAACTTTGGTGGCATTGCAGAGCTTTAAGCTTCCCCCAAAACTACATCTAAGAACTAGACACCACTGCTTAATAGAGATGTTTCAGTTTTGAGACAAAGATGGCTTCTGTGGAGTGTTAAATTGGTTCAGTCAATATTTAGTCTCTGAGTTTAAATGTCCTGTCTGACAGGTAATATGTTGGTCATTTAATCAGCCATCAGCCGCCACAAATGTCACCACTGAAGTCAACACCAAGCGCTATTCTGTGTGTGTTTCTCAGTCGCCGAGTCAATGATTAGCCGTGCGAATGTGGGAAGTCATGTTTATTAATGCCGGAGCAAGCCATTCACTTTCTGACTGACACTCATTAACTCCATTTGGATTAATGAGTAACTGATTAACGTGAACCATTCCGAACACGAATCACCAGCGGTTCACTGAAGAGGAAGAGGGTGGTGGGAGGGCTGGGAGAGAAAGAGAGAATCATAATTGCTGTCTAATCTTTGATGGATGGGTGAGTGGATTCCCCTGCATGCCGCTGATTGCTTTAGAATAACAAACACTGATGGTAAACGCTTCGAGCCACTGGATCCAACCGAGCGCGTTGTTTTGAACAAACGCCGCTTATCTTGCACAACACGAGTTTATCACTTAAACCTTTTGTTAACTAGTTTTTGTTGAGTCGTCTTCCATATTTGCGTTTATATTTAGGCAGCTAAAAGTTCACAATGATCACAAGCTAGTTTGTTTTAACTTTTCTGTCATATTTGTTGAATGCGTAAACCTCCTCAACTCCCTCGAGGAGTACAAGTCTTAGAGAGCTTTGTCACAAGTTGGCAACACGAATTCAGCATGTGGGAATTAGGGCAGAGATCAAGGACCTCTAAATGCAGGAATCGACCACAAGTGACATCCATTTAAAATAAGAAAATGCTTCCCTTCTTTTTGTGTGTCTTTGATCACAGAGGAACAGAAGCATTTGAATGGCTGAATGCATTTTGCTGAAGCAGCCAGGCTGAGTCAGTTGTAGGCCTATATATGGCCAATTTCTTTTGCTTAATTGCATTCCTTCTGCGAAAACAGGGAGTGTTGTTTTGTTCTGCTCTATGAACGGGTACATATGTGGCCTATAGAAAAGAGAATAAAAGTAACAGAAGTGCAATAGAAACACTTTTCGTAGCTTATAAATAAATAGCTGCTGCTTTGACATAACTTGATAACAGTCTTTCCCAGGTTCACAAATGAGCATTTTAGTCATGTAAACACAGACATCAATCATATGCACGAGAATTTGCTCAGCAATATCTGGCTCTACCCTTAATTCACCTTACTTTTCTGCTTCTTTCCTTTTTTTTAAAATACATTTTTTTGCCTGCAGACGTGAAATTTTGTGAGATAGTCACAGTTAATAGAAACATTTCACACAATGCCACTGTACTTAAAGCAGCTGCAGGCAGTTGTAGATATCAGGCAAGAAAAAGCAGTCTGAACAGCAGTGACGTCTGAAACTCCATTACATGCACATTCTTTCACATATTCTTTCCGTCTACGTGCGTAGTTGTAGGCATGCATACGAATCAGATAAGATTTGTGTGGAAGTCCATTTTGGTACGTTCCTCCACTTTGACTATTCCCCGTGAAAATTAGCACCTGTAAAAACTTTTTATATAAAATGTTCTCAGTAAGCCAGGTCATAACAGTGATCTGTTGGTAAGATTGTACGTAAGTTGTGCGGTAGCGCTTTCTTGGCTGCAGTTAGTTTGACGGACTATGAACCACCTTTCTGAGCCCGCTGTCAACGCTGAACTCCTACAGTCATTCCTGTTGAGTTCTATATGAATCCATTTGATATTTTAGTGATTTGATAAACACTTTGCTGCTTAGATTAGATTAGATAGAACTTTATGATGCTTTATGGTGAGCTTATTGTCCCCACCGGTGCTTCAAGGCCTGGAGCCGGCCATCAGTTCAGGGTTGAAGACGAGGCTTCAGTCAGACGGTCGCCATCAGAGGCCTCGCTCACAATATGCACCTCTGACTCATAAAGAAACAAACCAAATAACAGTCTTCTCTGGAAAATAAAACAAATGCATTTGTCTTTGAATTGCGTGACTGAATGGGGGTCTTCGGGTGGAGATATCTTATTGGTCTTAAATCTGTCTGTGTGTGTGTGTGTGTGTGTGTGTGTGTGTGTGTGTGTGTGGGTGAGTGATAGGAACACTTCAGTGTGTATGTACAAGCATGACACATGTGTGACATGCTGACCCCCCTGTGCACCCCTCCGCTGTGTTTCCCATACATCAGAATATAATAACTTATCAGTACCACTGCAGACTCATCGTGACATGTTTATGGTGACTCTGAAGTGGGATGTGCGTGTGAGAGTGCACGCACGCCGACAACACATGGGTGTTTACTGCGTATTTAACACTCTACAGGCCCTCCTCTGTCATTTGAGGTTTGCTTTGGACGGTGACACTAACTCGAAGCTTACACAAACTTTCAAGCCTCTTTGAAGGGGACTGTTTCTTGTCTCGTCCCTGCCTCTTCTGAACTTCCTCTTTCTTCTCTCACCACCATTAAAGGGGATGAAGACACATACACTTAGTGTCACAGTTTTTTTTCTCTTGTAAGTACAAAACAGTTTTCTCTCTTCACGTATACAGTCGTCCTCAAATGTATTCATACCCCTCCATTAAAGAAAAGGCAAAATTCACAATAGTCACTCAAATAACTAGAAACTTAAAAAAAGTAATAATAAATAAAAAATTGCTAAATTATCATTTACTGACATACAGACATTGCTTTTGAATTGTGGTTAAAAAAAATAAAAATAAAATAAAATGTCCCAGACAAATTGGACACTTTGCTGATGAGCAGTGGGTCAAAATCTAAATACCTGTCAACAGGTGCAGAAGTCTGATTGAGAGTTACAGAAAACACTTGATTGCAGTGATTGGCTCAAAGGGTTGTTCCACAAAATATTAGTTTACGGGTCCCATCAGGCTTGTTTTTTTGTTTGTTTGTTTGATTGTTTTTTATATTTCTGTTGAACCACAATTCAAAAGCAATGTCATGTTTTTCATATTTATTTTGTTTATTATTACTTTTGTCAGTTTCAACTTATTTCCGTCGCATCTGTTTTTTTCCTTCTTCAATGGGAGGGTATGAATACATTTGAGGACGACTGTACATTAACCCATTTAAACAGAAACACAAATTATTACAGCTTGATAAAAACTCATATGTATGGATTAAGACTGAACAATGACCAGGTATCCTTGCCGTCATAAGCCATCCAGTAGCTATACCTGCTTTATCCTGCAGATGGTCGCAGGGAGCTGGAGCCTATCCCAGCTGGCGAGAGCCACTGTACCCCCTGGACAGGTCACCAGTCCATCACACAGCCAACACAAAGAGACAAACAACCTTGCACACTCACACCTACGGTCAATTCAGAAACACCAATTAAATTACCACGCAAGTCTCTGGATTGTTGGAGGAAAAGCACCCACAGAAACCCCATGCAAGGAGAACATAGGAACTCCAGACAGAAAGGCCCCGGCCGACATGTGCCCTAAACCTGATTAGGATTACTTCCACATGTGCATGAACAAGTACCTTAGTTTTGTTTTTGTTTTATTTGCATTTCCATCACAATTTGTCATCATACAGTAGTTTGATGTGCACTCTAATTTTGTGACTGCACAGAAAAATGTAAAATGTAGTTGAGCTCGATACACCAGTTTGATGTATTATGTAGTTTGAGTCGTGTATGGCAACTTGTGTTTTGCTTTGGATGATTTTTATGGTTGTAACATACATGTGCACATTTTTGTTAAAGCAGGAATGTCTATGATCTGTGTACACATGTTAATTAAAAGGCACAAACAGACAGAAATCCCTATCTGGGTTCCAGATAAACATCCAGTCAAGCTCAGGTCAGTAGTTGTTTCTGCTTAGTCTTTGTTTACAGTGATACCTTAAAATATTACTTTAATTTAGCACCACAGGTGACGTCCTGCTAGATTTTAAATACACTGCTGAGGCTTTCTGAGCATTAAGGTATTTACAAAATTGCCTTGTGTAGCTAACACCAGCTTCCAGGCACTTAAACATGCCATAAAAGGATTTGCAGCCACTTGAGCGTGTTGTTTTACATAAACATGGGCCACTTTCCTTTTTTCCCCCCTCCCCATTCACTTTTCTTTTTACGCCTCACGCTGTCTTTTCCTGTCCTTCATTTGTCAGTCTTGCATCACTTTAGTTCTCTTTTGTTCTTCACCTCTACCTTCAACTGTGCTACATATGAAGCGCTACCTGCACATGATCCCACCGAATGGGCTGACTAGGCATGTGAATGAGTGATTTGGCTGGGCGACTGCCCGCTTGCCTAACTGCTGCCTGCAGTGTGTGCGCGCGTGTGTGTGTGTGTGCATTTGTTCGTTTGTGTGTGCATGTGTGTGTGTGTGTGTGTGTGTGTGTGTGTGTGTCTCTGGGGGCTCCTGTGATGACGCACATAGTGACGGGGGAATGCTGGGGGTGGAGACGAGGAGGTGGGGGCTGGAGGAAGGAGGGGAAGTGCAGTCGACTTGCTAAGCTCTTTGTTTCTTTCTTCTGCACCTCGACTTGCCACGCCACTGCTCACACACTCCCAGCTTTCACAGGGGGATCACACTGCTGTGTGTACAGTAAGGGGCCACCGAGCAGTACAGTACATCATGTGTGTGCCTGTCACTCTGATGAAATCACCTCCCAATTCTCCAGTTTCAACAGCAAACAAAATCACCCCGTTCTGACTTTAAGGTGCCATGTATCTTCGAGTAATTTTAGATGAATAATTTGAAATCGACAAGAAACACACTCGCATGCATGCCCGCAAACTACCTGATCAGTCGAGAGACGACGGCAGGCTTTGTCCTCTGTTTTTATGTGTTGGTCAGCTCCCTTGTGTGCATGTGTGTCAGTTCCAGTGTTTTAGTCAAGGCCATGTTCCTAATGGAAATGTACTCAGTGTTCAGTGGAAGGTGTTAACATGTTTCAATGAGACTCCATCGCTCCCACCCTGCTCCATTCAACCTTACTCCATCCCCTGTTTCCTCTCCCTCATTCTTGTTAAGCCTTGAAGCCTGACCACATGTCCTCTCTCTGCTTGTGTGTATTGTCTTGCAGACTACCTGACGTGTGGGTGAATGAAACCGAGCGATCTCAGCTGAAGACTAAAGTGGTGCACTTATCCCAGTTACCACAGGACACAGCTATGCTATTAGACCCCAACATCTATCGGTGAGTGTGTGATGAGGCCACAGACACAAAAGCCCACAGTGCTGCACATCTGTTTTGCCTCAGTCAAACACATGTTGCCCATGTGCAAATATTATCTCATTATCAGTAGGATTCATTGTGTGAACCATTATAGTGACAAAGGAAAGTGTTTGAGCTTTTGCCTCTGGTCGCCACACCTGTGTGTGCAAACAACCTTTCTTCCAGCAGGTGGCACCAACTCTCTCACTTCAGCAATTTGATTTAAAAAGCCTCATACAGAGACTTTGTTTTTGTCTGTGTCTGTATGAAGCAGTAGATATTGTCTACTGTACAGCCTGATTAATGATGTCAGCTTTTGGTCACAGTCAGACGTCACTGCTGTTTGGATTTGTCAGAAATCAAAAATAATGAAGAGTCTCTAAAGAGTTGCTGAAGTGGAAAGGGGTTTCTGTCACTTCAGATATATCAAGACTGGATTTTACCTGTATAGAGCTAATCAGCTGACAAATATGAGGATAGATTATTAGTTTGAGTTAGTGATGTAGTCAAAAACAGTGTTCATTTCAAAGTTGAATTGATCATATTTTAATTTACTAATACATGAAAAGCAATTTCTTGCTGCTGTGTAAATGTTCCTCCACAGCTTATATTTTCTTTGTTTTCAAGTTTACCACACACCACTAAACATTAGCTATGGTAGTGTTTGAATCCCGTGCAGCTCTGTAAAGACTAGTGCACTCATCACTGAGATGAGAAAACAAGGTTAGCTTTATGGTACGCCATAAAATGCTGAAAATGAATCCTGAAAGAGGAACAACGTGCCTAAAATAACAGAGTGGTCATCTTACCAGAGATATATGGCGCACAAGTGTGCTAATCAGCACACAGGCTGACTGATTTTAATTTGACCTGAAGGCTCAGTAACTGCAGGGGCTGCTGCTGGACTCTGGTTTCATAGTTGAATATAATCGTCAGCACCCAGCCAATTTATGTCAAGGTTGTCCTAATGCATGAAATCCCAAAACAAATGTGGTGGTTGGTGCCTTTGGCAGTAAATATGGTAGTGTGTTTGGACCCCTGTACATTTAGATGGGATGGTCACAGAGAGACTGATGTAGTGGCAGTTTAAGATTATATTATTTCACCAGTGTTTCCAACTCAATTATATTAGACTGAAATCAGCTCAAACTCATGATCACACTGTATACTAAAGATGCTGCTGCACACTAATCTTACAAACGTTTTCTGTCTTTGCAGAGCACTTCCTCAAAAGCGACTGAAGTGCAGGTAAGCCAAACCCGTTTAACATTTGGGTATTTGTTAGCTATAGATAAAAATATATTGATATGAAGTAATCTGACCTGGTTACTGATGTCAGCAAAAACTAGAAATGCACAATACAGGATTTAAAGTAGCTACTGGATAAGAACATAGTTTGTAGAAGTCACACTGCACTGTTTTCAGACCATATACACACACACACACTTCAAGTGTGTAAAAGAATTGAATTAGTTTAATACTTGCAACAATTGTCTTCAAACTGCACAAGTTTACATTTTTTCATTCACACACAAAACAAAAACTCTTCTTTGGTAAATTAAATCAAAGCATTTTGGCTTTTTCTTTAATGCAAATTCCGTTTCCAATGAAATTGTTGAATGTATTTTTAATAAAGACAGTGCTGGAATAGTTTGTAGCAACAATGGTGCAGTCACAGATATACAGAAAGTCCAGGCGCAGATGCATTAAAGATAGATGCGCCGAGCGTTAATGTCACAACATCGGTATCTTTTATCAACATCCGTGCGCAGCCTTTGAAGTTCACAGTGGTGCGTACGCAGACAACACAGAGCTGCTGCATTATTCTTGCTTTTAACTCGACTGTTAAAGCCACATGTTTTATGCTGCAGCATCACACACATTTAAAAATTCCCTATTCTTTTTCTTATAATGTGGATCAAATGGTGCCGATGCACTGACGGTATTATAACGTCCGTGCATCAGCGGTTTCACCCGTAAGTCTCACTCTCTTGTGGTGAAACGTCGTTGGCGAAGATTACTTTTCGCCCACAGTTTCACGGTTCCTATGTACCATGAAGCCAGTTAACTGAAAAACAGACCATCTCAAAGCCACGACCCTTGGCGTTTCCTCGTCTCACTCTAACATTAGGTCATATTTGGACACCGTTTATTATTCCATTAATTGGCCTCGGCAGCAAAAGCTACTTTTAAGTCTCCAAAAGCGTAATGTGTGTAAAGGAAGTCAGCTCAGAGTCTGAACATCCAGGATAAAGCTGATTTTTTATTTTTTTTTATAATGTAATCTCTCACATAACAAACGGAGAACAACTCATTCTCTCCTTTTCTGTGTCTTTCTCTCCTGTCTTTGTGCTCAGCCTGTAAGGAGTCATCTGTGGACTTGATACTTAAGGGGAAATCCTTGTTCATGGGAGTTTTATCTGTATGGGATGGGACGCTCTTCATCTGTCTCTGCTGAACGGGGGGGAGTGAAGTGGCGATAAAAGGAAGTAAAACTGGCCATGCTGCAGTTCTCCTTTTTTTTCCCCCCCCTCCTCAGTTTTGTATACGACTGTTGTAGCCACGTATGGTGTAAAATGGGACTGGATATTTTTTAACAGTTTGTGTTCATCAAAAACTTAAATGAATGTGTTTTCTTTTGTTTTTTTAACAAGCACCAAACTGAAAATATTCTTAATACCCAAGAGTGTAAAAAAAAGAAAAAAAAAGAAAAGAAAAGAAAAGAAAAACAACAACTGTTTTGTGTAAGCTTGTCAGATAATACAGCATATTTTATAACTGTTTTGTGTAAGATATTTATCCAGATTTGTAACTTATTTTTATACCATGAAAATGCTGGTGTACTGTGGATTTTTTTGTGAAGGTTTTGAATAGAACCGTATTTACTGTGATAATATATGTTAACTGTCACTCGTAGGGAAACTTGGAAATTTTTAGCTGTAATTACATTGTAAGTCTTAACAAATTATCCTATTTATACTTATCGAATGCAGTACTGTTAACTGTGTGTATGACGATGAAGTGTGAGGTTGTGCCAGTCATGTCAGAGTTGTATTCGGTGCGATTCGAACTGTTACAGGAGCAATAACTCAGTAGTTAACGACACTACAGTGTAGCTCTTAATCTTAACCAGTCTGTCAACAGTACACCATAAAATGACTGACATCTCAGCAGACATTCACAAAGTTTTAATCACACCAACTCACCTGTACTCCCCCCTTCCTCCTCCCCCCCCTCCAAGTAACATGATCTGTGTATATCATAGTTATTATGATAAATTTACATTACTGCTATTTAAGCACTTAACAATTATTGTTTCAAAAGTTGTGTTTTCTACTCTATATGGTGTCCCTTTTGGAAATGAAATATTGTGTTTGTAATAAAATCGCAGAAACAACAGAAGTTGAAGAACCCGTGGTGTTGAAATGGCACAAAGGAGCAGTGCCTCCGTTGTGGTGTGAGTATAGTATGGAATATTAGTTCCTTATGTGTGCGTTGGATGGATTGGCTGGGTTATTTGGCGGCCATTAACAGAACAGCTTTGGGAGCACGCTGTGGAGGAGCTAATGACTGGGCCAGCAGGCCAAAGCTCCTGCCAGCCTCAGCTATTGGTGAACATGCCTGCAGAGAAAACTGAGTTCAGAGAGAGGTCTGCTGCAATATGGCTGTCCTGCTCTTCAGCATTTCATGCGCTCGTGTGCTCACACATACAAAATTCATTTAGGACTGTGATATAATGAAACTTTCAGGTGTTGTTCAGCTGTTTTAAGGGAGTGAGCGCTGATGGTTTGTTGGCGCCCTGCTGTTTTTGTGTGCTTTGCTTAATGCCTTCCTCGTCTCTGCAACGGTGCACAGCAGCTCATAGAGCAGTTTGGTCGCAAACTGATAACAGATGATTCCAAGAAACGCAGACAACACATTTTAGAGTCGACGCAAAAGTCCTTGTAGAGGCACCACCAGCCCAGCGTCTTCGAGCAGTGACTCGCCGAAGCCTTTGATAGCAGATGTCTTCTTTTTCATGTGTTCTTGGATCAAGATACATTTAAAACAAAACTATTAATCAACTCATTTTCTGATGTTAACTTATATCCCAACAGAGTTGAGCAAGTCGTCATATCTGAAAGTTTCTTTTGGATGTTGCTATTCCTTGTTGTCAGAACTGTAATACTCCAAACTGTAAGAAAAATAATGTGTCAATGAAAATAAATAACCAAACTGTGAGCCATGATAGTAATTATTAAAACGGAGAATATTCAAGTGTCTATGAAAGTCCTATGAGACTGGTGTTTCAAAACCCTTTCACGTATTGCCATGTTTTTAGGCTTGATATTCTAACTAATAGTTTTCTTGGCAAACTCAATTTGAGTTCAAATTTAAATTAAGTCCCATTTATTCTACTTGAACAGCCTAGAATTGCATTTAGCACCCACTTATTTTTTGGTGTAATAGAAAATACCACTTATGGGATCTAAATCCAATAACAAACAGAAAGTTCTCTATAAGTCTGGGAGTTAAACAACATACATTTTCACTAATGTTTTTTTGACAGCACCAATTAAAAGTTTTATTTTATCCCGCAAAGCGCATTATTTTTCATTTGTTTTGAAATTACTGTTACTTTATTGTTACTTTATCATTTGATAAAGATTTTTCCCCCAGAAATTCGCAAATGCCCGTTCAAAATTGAAAACACGCCATTTCCTTGACCTGGAAACCTAGAATTTAGTATGATTATAAATGACTTTTACACAGTGTCAATGATACTCAACTTTGGAGGTATTTCAAGGCCTAATAATTCTTTCTGTTGGATTGGAGCTCCGTGTTTTTTTAATGTCTTCATCTCTCTGACGCATTGTACTTCCAGGATTTCCCACAAGTGATTATTTGCAAGATGTTTTGAATAAAGCCGTAGAACCAAGTTTCCAAGGTTTGTCCGAACCACGACTCCAGAAGTGACATCAGTTGGAGCGAACAGATTGATAGAAAGACTGGCAGGCAGATTTAGAAAATGGACAGTAGCTCTGCCTGCAGACCGTAATCCTGCCTCAGCCCGCCTGGGAACGCTGGGTTGCTACCCTGAAGTGACGTCTGTTCACTCAACCCGTGAGATGAGTTTCCCTCCTTCATCTTCTCCTCCTCTAAACACCCAGTATGATGCCAATCCCTTTGCCTCTGTCTCCACTGGAAAATCCCAGATAAACAGTTTTTGTTTTGTATTAATCACAGCATGTTTGCAGACATAAAGTTATTCATTCGTTATTATCAATCTAGCAGGAATGGAAGCACTCCCTGTACTCTGACATGTGAACCTCATTAAGCGGATCCATTAGTCATGTGTCACTGTATCAGTAAGTGTTGCCTGCTGGTTCCGTAGTCCTACTGCTCAAACCTGGAGCCCTTCCATCGACCGTGGCTCTGCTTACACTCGGTCCTGAATCATCCATCTGAGTTTCTCATTGTGCACAAAGTCTTCCCTTCGTTTTGGCTACATGCACCGCTGTCTCGGTGAAGAATGAAGGCATTACATCAAGAACAAAAGCGATGAGCTGCTGCCCTAAATCCCAGCCTGGAATTGTTTTTCCTCAGTCCTTAACATTTTTCAGAGAAAGAAATACTGAGAAATAAATCTGACTGGTTCACAAGTAGAACTGAACAGAAAAGTTGGATTTTATATTATGATCAGTAACGTCACATACCAGCTGTTGTATTCTTTAAAGTTGGGAAAATTGGTCACCACACTTGTGACCGATTCTTTTTATAATATTGGTTGTCACTTCATACATTATTACATATATCTATAGTTTAGGGTAAATTCTGTTCATCATATAAGCAAACAAATTCCTTTTAATGATGCCTTAGGCTTCACCAGCAACAACTCATTTTGGAAAGTGGTTGTAAAAATGACAGAATCAAAGACCTCATTCCACAAACATGCAGCACGGTTACCGCTCTTCCTGCATAAGAGATTCATGCAGGCAGCTCAGGTAATGTGCACGTGTACATGTCTGTGAACATGAGGACAGGAGTATATCAGGTGCCAGATAATTTGTAAACTGCCCAACTCTTCCTTTGTGGATCCCCTTTTCATTGGTTTTCCATCATGCTTTTGATTCTTTTGCTGCCCCAATGGTCTTTTTATTGAGTGGCCTCTCCATCCCAGTGTTTTTCCTTTAAGTCTATTTGAGATGCTGCAAGTCTGTGTTATGACATAACTGTCCGTCCCTGGCTTCGTCTCCTTGTATTATTCATTGTGATGGGTTATTCATTTATTTAAGCATTGTGCACAAATATATTTTGACAGCTTTGGAGCCTTCCATTAGCGCAGAGAGCATACTGGAGAAACGGTCAATAAGCTCTCCTTAAGTGGCCCTGGCTGTTGACCCCTCCTGTTAACACAAGGACCTGACCCTGTCTAAATGTCTTCCAGCTGGGGAGACCAGTCAGTCCTCAGCGGTGGTCCTTAACTTTAATAGCTGCCGTCTTATAGTGCGGGGTAACATTCTCATCAGGAATGAAGCCCCGACCAATATTTCAGCAATTGAAAAGAATTAATGATACAATTACATCCAAGACGTGTGCTGTAAACATATTTATTCAATTAAATTCTCGCTATTCACATGTTTCACATCAATTTTGATGCTGTTTCAGAACACATCAGTTGCATTTATGTATTTTTCTAAATTGTTTTCATGAATAGACTGAAGCAAACACTGATGCTGACCTACGCATGAGGAGTGCTGACTTTGAAACTTCACAAGTTTAAAGTCAGAAGTTCTTTAAACAATATGATACTCAACTTATTGAATGACCATAATGTGGCTTTAAGGTGTGGATGTTTAGATGAACAGTGTCAGAGTTTGGATTTGGATGAGCCTAATGTCAAAGGTAGCAGTTTATATGTCTGATTCTTCTATGGTGAATATGTAAGTAACAGAATGTCCTCTTAAAGTGATACTAATTAACCTATGATGTGTAAATCCTATAATATTAGTAATGGGACATATTTTAGGTTAGGGGCTGCAGGGTGGCGCAGTTGGTAGCACTGTTGCCTCACAGCAAGAAGGTTGCCGGTTCGTGTCCCGTTGGGGGCACCGAAATCTTTCTACGTCAAGTTTGCATGTTCTCCCCGTGCAGCGTGGGTTCTCTACGGGTTCTCCGGCTTCCTCCCACACGGTCCAAAAACATGTTGAGGTTAATTGGTGATTCTAAATTGTCCGTAGGTGTGAATGTGAGTGTGCTTGGTTGTCTGTCTCTAAGTGTGGCCCTGTGATAGACTGGTGACCTGTCCAGGGTGTCCCCTGCCTTCGCACTAAGTCGACTGGGATAGACTCCAGCCCCCCACGACCCTAGTGAGGATTAAGTGGTGTATAGATAATGGATGGACATCTGATATTAAGATTTATGATATTGCCGATAACTGATATTACCGATGTTGATGTTTAATTTTTGTTTGCACCAAAAATGAGTATAAGTAAGCACTGTGAGAATGTGAAAACGATTCAAAAGAAGCCCATACCGAATTAGACCACATAGTCTTCTTTATTACGTAGCAAAAGTTAAACATATTTTAACATATTTAACATTCAAGTCCAGAAACATTTAAGTAAACACATCTGTGAAATAGCAGCAATATCAAATGTAGAGATGAAGGCGCTAATGTTAG